ATCATGCTCCTCTGAGATAGCCTCTTAAACTCATAAAGCCGAGCATCCTTAACACTCTAAGGGAGAAACCTGTAAAAAAACATGGTGTTAAACTCCTTCTATATCCATTGAACCTTTATTGGCCTTGTTATCTCCTTAAATTTAAACTAAAAGATTACTACATCTCCCTCTAACCTGAATAACTCCAAACTCACAGCTCGGTGGTCTGTATATCCTAAAGCTTCATACAACTACCAGATGTCGTCTAAAAACCTTTAAGGATCCTTTGAACTGTCCATCTCAATAAAAGTAGAACATGTCAACTTCATGAAGTCATTCAATAACACATCAACTCCCCAAATAGTGTGGAATGATGATGATACATATCTATCCCTTCTCTTATCTCTCTTTGTAATAAACTTTATCCAGATCCATATAACCTAGCTAAAATGTTGAAACTCTATAACAAGCTCAGGATTTGTTACCCTTATACTTGTTTCACCAACCACGTTTTCCTCTTATAACTCCTAAGACTCCTTCTTTACTGGTAAAGGTATTCCTTTAACATGTTGAGGTGTGTGTGCACCGCTCCCTCTCCTCTACCTTTTAATACTCAACCACATAATAAAAATGACATTTTGATCATCATTTACTTTTATAGCACTAGTTATTTGTCTATTCCTCGACATTTTGTATAAAAGGCAAGAATACTTAATTCATGCTAAAATAGTAACATGATTATTATCATAGAATTATAGGAAAACATATCTATTATAAAATATAAAGAGTTGAAAATGACATGCTTGATGAGAATTTTGAATTTCAAAGGCAACAAACAAGACGATATGAATTTTAATGCTCCATATATTACGAAATTAATTATATTGTTGTTTCTTTAACCTAAAACTCTGATACAAAGTTTTTCACAACCTAATTTCTGAATTCATGACCGACACATAGACAAAGTCTCTTTTTAGGTTTCCATACCTATGTGAACCTAAACTTACATACACATTTTTTCACTTATATAAACAAAACAGAGATCTACACAACATGATAACATAATTAATTTCATAATATAAATTGATTATCTTAATACAAAAATTAATACAAATATCTTAGCTATGGAGCACTAAATGAACATAAAAAAAGTATTAATGACAACTAAAAGAGTAGGTGTCAAAGGTCCAACAAAAGTCACATGCTAATAAGTTATAAGTCTGAAAAGATAAATAACAAAAAGGTGAGTCCAACAACTCATTGAGTATATAATGTTCAATATACGTACACGAGGTAATATAACAATGAGAAACACATACACACAAATATGACTTTAAGTTTTTACATGAATTTTTTTTAAATAGATCATAACAAAAATATTATAATATAAGGCTCATAAAATCAAAATATAACGAGCATGATGCTCCGTACTGTAGGATGATCAGTCACCACAAATTAGTGACTCCCCCTACCAACTAAAGTTCAAATACGATGTGCATAAAGACTAACACTACCTTGTTAGCATTAGTATTTTGAGTAGCATACCATTCATATTATAATCAAACAAACAAGTTTATGTCTCAAGATTCTGAAGTGCATAATGGTTCATATTAAAGATTTAATTTCAATAAGTGATCATATTTAATCATAAATAAGGAATAAATAACATTATAAGAATAACCAATAAAAACAATTAATTCCATGTTAACAATTTAAGTATTTATACTAATTCTCTAGTATATTAAAAATTATTGACTCACCTGACTGAAAAATAGAAATAACACGAAAGCAAATATTGAAGTCAATCTTATTGATGTGCTGCATGTATAATATCATGATTATCTGAATATAAAAAAAAGATACTAAAAATGAATGTAAAATCTATTTAATACACTTCACTAAGGATCTAACTGATAATCCAATATATTTTTTAACCAACTGGTCATTTTTCTCAAAAAACCTAAAAATCAAACGATTTTCTTGAAATCTAATTCAAATGAAAACAAATCATAAAACTTGATAATAATTTATCAAATCACCTCCTTCGGGCCTCTGCTGAGGTCCTGGGCAGTGGTACTTTTGGGTCCCTCACTTAATTATTTTTTAAACCGATATGAAAAATTATAATTACAACTAGGGACCAATCCATAATTTTATTAGATTTTTAGGGGTTAAATTGTAATTTTATTAAATTGGAGGACCAAACTGAAAATATCATAAATTCATAACTATACTAAAAATTTGCCCATAATTCATCCTTAATTTTGTGCAGAATCTTGAATTTTGATCTAGGGACCAAACTGTAATGTTTTCAAAGTTTGGGGATTAAATTATATTTTTCACAAACTAAAGGACTAAACTAAAATTTTATCATCTTCAACCTCAAACCTGGATATTTCTACAGATCATCTACTGATCTACCAAAATCTCTAATTCAAATTCATTATTTAAATAAATTATAATTCAAAATCATTATCCTTATCCAAGATTTTTCAAAATCAACTAAATAAATTATTATCATAACAATTAACTCATAATATTTCAATCAACTCATCAATCAAATTTAAATTAAAATCTTTAAAATCCTAATCTTCAACAAATTCATAGTCTTAATTAATACCAATAATTACACATATCAAAACATAAATTTTACATTTTTTTTTCTCCAACTCTTTTTTACTTCTTTTATCTTTTCTTCTTTCTCTTCATCTTCTTTTTACGGTTTCCTCTCTTTAAATTTGAGTCTTCTCTCTGTTTTTTCCTTCTTCTTTCATTTTTTAGATTTATCAATTCTTTATTTAATTACTAAAATGTCCTTTATCCATAATAACTAAGACTTGCTCTTCTAAGGGTATTGTTATCATTTCGTATTAAACCTTCTTATTATATTTCAAAATCATACAGACTTTTGTGGCCATCTTATCAGCACAAGGGATAGATTATCTTTTATCCGGTGAAGGAACTTCCTGTGGAACGCCCTTTTTCTGTAATTCTTTTTTTTGCCCCTTACCTTCTCTTAATTGCAGATATTATATCCTTGCTGCAGAGCTTTTATGTTTATGTTTATGTTTGATTACTGAAAAAGGTTGATGAAAAAAGAAAAGTTACGGTCTATTTAGCTTTTAAAAGGAATTGTTCAATGCAACGAAGAAACTAAAATGCCAAATCTTGTTTTTATTGAGCTTAGGTGCCCTTGTCATCATGTCAAGGTAAGGTAATTTGCCTCCTCTTTTCGGCAAACTGGTGCAGGCCATGTAAATCATTTGCTCCCCAGCTAGTGAAATTTTATAATGGCCTAATTAAGAGCTATTGGCAAAAAACTAGAGATTGTCCTCACCTCCTTTGATCGCGAAGAGGATTGATTCAAGGAACACTTCAAGTGCATGCCATGGCTTGCAGTCCCACTTGAAGGATACTTGCATAGACTATAGACATTTGAGCGACATCTATCACTTTAATCACATTACGTCATTTATCTCATTGAGCTCTGATGGAATATCAGTTGAGGACGTTATGATTGGATAGAAGAGTATAGTTTTGAAGCATTTCCCTTCAGTAGGAAACAAATCGAGGAGTTGAGGTCTATCGATGATGCGAAGTGCCAGGGAGGACAACTTCTTGCACTAGAAGGACGAAACTATGTTTTATCAAGAGATACTACAAAGGCGATTTAAGTTTATCCCTGTTGTTACAAATGGCACGCCAGTCATAGCATTGACATTTTTTAACCTTATCTGAACTTGTTGGCAAGACAATAGGCCTTTACTTTGGTGCACACTTGTGCCCTCCAAGCCGTGTCTTCACTGGCAACTTATCCAGGCTTACAACGAGATCATAACCACCAAAGGTGGATGCTTTGAAATTATTCTAGTGTCTACTGACCGAGACCTTAATGAATTTAATACCAACCTAAGTAGCATGCCACAGCTTGCTATTCCATACAAGGATAAAACATGGAAAGGCCTTTGTAGGATCTTTAACATTAAAGGGATTCTAGCTTTGTTCATTATAGGACAGGATGGTGAGACCATTAGCACATATGGGAAGGCCATGATTTCCTTGTATAGTGCTAAGGCTTTCCCACTTACAGATTCAAGGATTACTGAGATGAAGGCAGCTTTGAAAAAGAAGGGAGATGCATTGCCCCGGCAAGTGAAGAATATATAGCACCAACATGCTCTGAAGTTGGACATGGCAAAAACATATGTATGTGACGGTTCCAAAGGGAAAGGCAAGTTCTGGGCATTCTCTTGTGATTTTTGTGATTATGACCTTCATCTAGCAGGTGTCGAAGAGGCATGCTCAGAGTGTTTAGTGGGAGTGGAAGATGTTAATATAACAGCTTAAATGTAGTACTTGAAATATTTGAAAGAATAATACATGACCTTTCCAAGAAAAAAAAATTCTTTGTCCATCGATTTAATGTAACAAACTGATTTTTTTGATACCACGGACCAATTGGGTGCATCAATTTAAGACTAGTTGATTGAGTCACAAGGCCTCAATTTACTAATCCTATGCATGCCATTTAGGATAACAGAACCATAAATCTGATGGCAGCTGAGTATTTATAGGTCAAAGCTCAAACACCAGAGAGCAATTTGTGGGGGAAAGAATTTAGAGGGTATGAATTTAATTAATTAATTTAGTTAGAAGAGAGAAAATAAAAGGTTAAAAAAAGAAAAATGAAAAAACTAGCCTAATTTAGGAAGATACAGCTAGGATTGTGGAACTTGAGGAAAAAGGATATTGCAGTAGAACCACAAAGAGGTAAAGGTCCCTTCCTGGCTCTCTTCTTCTAGAGAGAGGGAAATAGATAATCAAAGAAAAGACAAAAATTCCCATTTGCATAAAATTTTGATATGCAGATTGCATTTCTGAGTTTCTTGTAGAGAAAGTTGAAGGTTGATCAAAAGGTTCCAATCAGCTTCTGATAAGATACCAGAAGAGAAATCAATCCATTGAACGTTTTGAAGGTTCTGCTATTAGTTTCAAGGATAGAAAATAGTTGATTGAGAGAGATGTGGATGCCCAGGTCTTTGCCAGAGAAAAGGGTTGGAGGAAATGGATTAGTTGCAGTGGCAATAGACAAGGATAAAAGCAGTCAAATTGCCCTCAAATGGGCTATTGACAATCTTTTGGTTAAAGGGCAGACTGTTATTCTCATCCATGTCAATCTCAAATCATCTCTTTCTTCACATTCTTCTTCACCAAGTAAGTATCTCCCTTGCAACCATAGTCCGGCATGCATATTGCATATGCAAATGGAAAATTGTCGTGGATTCCATTTTGTAATTGTTAATAGCTTGATTTCATAATATTTTCTGAAAGCATCATCTTAGCAGGAAATTCTATTTCCCTTAGAAAGTCTTGCATAAAAAAGGGATGGAAAAATGGAAACAAATAAAAACATGTCATGGATTTGCATGCTAACCAGAAAGACGCCGCGCAAAAAGCAGTAAAGCTATAGCCTTGAGATGAAAGCAATATATCTGTATCGTAGTCTCGTATAGGAGAAGTTTCTTAACCATGTTACTGATCATATTATTGCAATTTTCATATTCATTTTCGATGCAGAGATGAACCAATTTGTTGATTCCAAAGATCCTGATTCCAAGGATTTGTTCCTTCCTTTCCGCTGTTTCTGCACACGTAAAGATGTAAGTGTAGAAGATGAAATCTTCATTTTCTTTCAACGTGAACTTGAATGGGAAAGCCTATCCTGCAAGAAATATTGAGTTATGGAATTATCAAGAGCATATGCATACTTGTCCAGAAATTCTCTATGAATTGAATTCATTAAGGCCTTCTAAGGATGCCTACACTTTAAATTTATAGTTAACCATACTTGTTTCATATTTTCAAGTCTTTAAGCTTCTGCATTCATTTTGACATCAGATTAGCTGCAAAGATGTCATGTTGGAAGACACGGATGTCGCAAAAGCATTAATTGAATATGTTACCCAGACTCTAATTGAGACTTTGATTGTTGGTGGGTCGACGAAAGGAGGCTTTTTGAGGTATGTACCTCTCTTGTGAAGTCACTAGCAGGAAAATAAATCTAGCAAAACCTTTTCAGATAGAAAAAGGTCATATGTTGGTGAGAGATGAGAAGATGAGTGCTTAGAAGTTAGAGTTCTGAACATGGTGCTTCAAATGGCATGTAACAAATGCATCTGAAATGCTATCAAAGACAAGACAGACTGACATCAGACGCTAAGATAAATTGTTCAAATTTCTTATCCAGGATGTTGAAATGTGACGATAGGCATGTGAAAATGGCTAACAAGCTTTGCATCAATAATCCGTATGAGTGTTTTTGTGTTTCTGTAGATTGTAAAGCTAATGATATTATGAAAGCATAAATTTCTTCCGAGTTCCCTAACCTCCAAAAAATTTCTTCCCAAAAGATTCAAAGCAGCAGATATAGCAGGCAACGTGTCAAAGGGGGCACCGGATTTTTGCACTGTTTATGTCATATCCAAAGGAAAGATTCAGTCCATGCGACCTGCCTTCCGTCCTGCACCAGTTACCTCAGTGCACAGCCAACTTCTTAACCAAAACGGCACAATGCCAGCTTCAATGGACACGCATATTCCTCCAACTCCTGTTAAAAGAGGTTGGGGATTTTGTTTTTTTTTTGTTTTTGTTTTTATTTTCTATGCTCTGAGTAGACTCCCATTGATCATAAAATTAATAATGTGTATTCAATCGGTAGCTGAGAAGCCACCACTGGAACCACCCCGAAGATCAATTGGTGAGACAGAATCCTTCAGGCAAGTGATGCTCAGCGCTCATTTTCCTTGTTTTGTAAGAGAAGAAAAATGAAACTGTGAAAAACATAAATTATCTATATAGCTAGTTTTCTAGTGAAGGAAGACCTGAAATTTTTCATCAAAATCGTTCGAAAGTCCTATCGATGACCTACTGTGTCTTTTATAGTCCCCAAATGAGAAAAGGGAAAATCTATCAGTCTCTTGAAGAACAAACATAAAAAATTTTGCTTCTGAAAACAGGTCACCATTCACCAGGAGGGGTTTGAATGGAAAGTCATATGGTGAACTCTCGGTTCCAGATAGCGATATATCATTTGTCAGCTCTGGCAGAGCAAGCATCGACAGCATATTTCCAGCATTCTATGACAACACAGAAACAAGCCGCACCCCTCCACGGCTGTCAAACATCTCTGACTTTGACAGCAACTATAGCTTTGAGTCATTGCATTATGGAAGGAGATCAATGGATCAAGGTGGCTTTTCACCTGAATTATCACCCTTCTCACATGAAAGTGACCAGCTGCCATCAGCCGCGGTAAGAGCATGCAGTCATTCATTTCAATAGCAGAAATATATAAATGTAGCATCTGCATTTTCTGAAGATGAATAAGTACACATCTATAATAGTATCTTTCATAATTAGTGTAACAATGAATAAACATGGATCTAAACATTGTCGCCCTGGAAATAAACTAATCTGTTAAAAGTTCTAGTTTAATCCACGCAGATGAAAGCACGTTCCACCTTCCGGTAAAGCTGGCAACAATTTCTGACTTTTCTCAAATGACAAATAATCCACTATCTACATTAGTGTTTGTGATTTGTGAGAGCTAACAGTTACATTCAAGATATTCTGTAAAATCTCAGGAAGATGTGGAGGCTGAAATGAGAAGGTTAAAGCTGGAGCTCAAGCAAACAATGGAAATGTACAGTTCCGCTTGCAAAGAAGCACTCACTGCAAAACAAAAGGTATAAGAAATTTCATCTTCTTGTCATGTGGCCTTAAAAAGTCCACAATGAGTTTTGAGATTAACTTCTTTGCAGGCAAAAGAGCTCCAGCGCTGGAAAATGGAAGAAGAGCAGAGATTAGAAGAAGCAAGATTAGCCGAGGAAGCTGCGTTGGCAATTGCAGAAAGGGAAAAGGCCAAATCCAAAGCAGCAATTGAGGCTGCAGAAGCAGCTCAGCGAATTGCTGAGCTGGAATCACAAAAAAGGATTAATGCAGAAATGAAAGCACACAGAGAAGCAGAAGAGAAGAGAAAGGCTCTTGATGCTCTAGCAAATTCAGATGTCAGATACAGGAGATACCCAATCGAAGAAATTGAAGCTGCAACAGATTACTTTTCAGAATCACGCAAGATTGGTGAAGGGGGTTATGGTCCTGTATACAAGGGTTATCTGGACCACACGTCCGTAGCAATTAAGGTTTTACGGCCGGATGCAGCTCAAGGAAGGTCACAGTTTCAGCAAGAGGTACGTAGCCAAAAAGATTCTCTACAGGTGCTTCAGTTTTAAAAATTTTCAAGCTCTTACTTCTGAACGACTTTCTCGAAAGGAAAAATCAGTATTGTAACTTTTCAGAAACAAATTTCTCCGAAAACACAATTTTTAAATTCATTAAGCAGCTTAGGAGTGACCCCCTTAGAAGATTTTAACCCTTTCATGGGTTACATCAAATCAACAGAAGCCTTTCTGAAACTACACCACACAACTCTTGAAAATTATCTTTTTAGATTTTCAATTAACCTGGTGAGAACTGTTTTCAGGTTGAGGTATTGTGTTGCATAAGGCACCCTAACATGGTCCTCCTCCTGGGAGCCTGCCCTGAGTATGGATGCTTAGTATATGAGTTTATGGCTAACGGTAGCTTAGAAGATCGGCTCTTCTGCAGGGGAAACACTCCACCTTTATCATGGCAGTTAAGGTTTCGCATAGCAGCTGAAATTGGCACTGGTTTGCTGTTCCTCCACCAAACGAAACCTGAGCCACTCGTACATCGTGATCTAAAACCTGCCAACATCTTGCTTGACCGCAATTTTGTGAGCAAGATCAGCGATGTTGGGTTGGCCAGGCTAGTCCCACCATCAGTTGCTGACAATGTGACGCAGTACCGCATGACATCCACGGCTGGAACTTTCTGCTATATAGATCCAGAGTATCAGCAAACAGGCATGCTAGGTATAAAGTCAGATATATACTCTCTAGGGATCATGTTTCTACAAATATTAACAGCGAAACCGGCAATGGGATTGACTCACCATGTTGAAAGGGCACTTGAAAAGGGTACTTTTGCTCAGATGCTGGATCCAGCAGTGCCTGATTGGCCGATTGAAGAGGCAACGTACTTTGCCAAGCTATCGCTAAAGTGTGCAGAGTTAAGGCGGAAAGACAGGCCTGACCTCGGAAAGGTTGTCCTGCCAGAACTTAAGAGATTGAGAGCAATTGCTGAAGAAACTATGCATCGCTCATTGTCAACACCAAGTGCAGTAAGCTCGCCAGAATTAATTCTGCATAAAAATCTACAAGTATGCATAGCTACAAATTACCACATTAACAAATACTTAATGTTTTTGCAGAGTGACCTTCCTTCTTCAAGATCCGAAGTAAGCTCAAGAAGCTCTTCAGCCCATGCATGAAATGTCAAAAACAAACAGGACTGTTAATAATTAAGGAAATTAAAGTGGAAGTTCCATCGATTTTTATTTTTGTTTATACTGTGTAGATATAATCAATCAAGATGAGGTCAGAAGTTCCTCTGACGTTTTTCTCTTCTTTTGTGCTGTGTTTCAATATTGTCACAAATTAGTCGTCCCATCTCTTTGAATTGCCAAGGGAATTGGCTAGCAAAGAGCTTAATTAAATTTGTAGATTGTCACTCCAACTTTGCTAGAGAATAATATAAATCATATCTTGCAATCTTATTTAACAGTTTAAATTTTTAGATGAGATGGTTCTTTGACATGGTATCAGAATTTTAATGACTAAACAGTCACGAGTTTGAACCTTACCATCTCTATTTATTTAATAAAAATTAAACATAAAATAATATAAACATATACAAGTTTCAAGCCCAAATAACTTTTACTTGAGAGTTGAGGGGGTGCATTAAAGAATAATATAAATCATATTTTTACCGATAAATGTTATGTCATCAAATTTTGATACTTCCATGTATTTGCAATGTATTCTCGGTTGACTTAGCTTCTGCTCTATTTTTCTCAGCTTATCAACTCCTAAGATGGTGCTTTAATTGCTTGGACCTTTTTTTTTTTTACTTGGTGGTTTAGTTTTATAGTTAAAAAACAATCATAACTTAAAAGTTATGATTGTTAAAATAAGATTTTAAAATATAATTTATATTATTTTTTAATAAAAAACCCTTTAAAAATATAATTTATAATATTCTTAAAAACATTTTCAATTTAAAACTTTCATAAATTTACATTATCTTGATTTATTAATTAATTATAATTAAAAGAGAAAATAGGAGTTATAGAATTCAAACTCGTAATCGTTTTATTATTTAAAGTCTTATATCATATAAAAAAACTATAAGTCTATCTAGTAGTTAATTTAATTAATTAAAATGATGGTCAACAAATATTTAATATCATTTCAAATAAATATTCTAACTTAAAAAATTTAAATTTAAATTGCTAATTGAAATTCTAAACAGAACTATTTTGTATGGGTTTGGTGTAAGTTTAAGTTATATTAGGCATAATTGGACTTTATTTATTATTAACTATAAATATTTAATTCATAAAAGCTTCCACTTAGTTATTAGATGCCTTCGCAAACAAGTTTTCTGACACGAGTCAAATAATCAAATATCCATAAAGGGGATTACATTTCAAAGCTTGATTTTAACCCGAAGGTAATTGTTTAGAATTGTTTACTAGCTAAAGTTAATAATTTTAACTCTATTTTAAATGGCAAACACATTTCTCTTTCTTTTTCGAGATGAAAGCATACTTGTTTTATTAACTAATCTCGAGGAGGCTTGTTAAATGATCGATAGATTATTTATAAAATAAACTTAATCCAAGAGATGGATATTGTTTTGAAGTTCCAAGTTTGAATTACTTGTTACATATACAACTCGGATAAGGTAATTAAAACTCAGTTGAATGATGACGCATTCGATCTCAGAGAAATCCATATCTCAAAGAAGAAAAGGTGTCCGGAAGAAAAATCATCCAAAAATGGTCCCAGAACTAACGGTAATACATGAGCTGCTGAGCTGCCAAACCGTTACGATATCCACCATACATAGCTTGGGACCCACCAGCGCTCAAGTCCATTGAAGCAGCAGCTAGGCCATGCTGTCCAGTCAACTGGAGAAGAGCTTGGCCTGAATGGCCGGATGCAGCAGCCTGGCTCAAGGCAAGTTGGCGCTGATAGGCCAACAAATCAGCTGCAGAGTAGCCTTGGTTTATACCAGTTGATGGAGCGATTTGATATGGTTGAGCTGGAGGTGGCAATGGATTTGAAGCAGTTCCAGGAGGCGTTGGCTTGCTACCCCATGAGCACTGCACATGAAAACACCAATGTTGACATGAAAGGAAGCAAAAAACAAAGAAAAGAAAACCCATCAAGTAATATCATGTCTGACCTTCACGGGCTTTCCACAAACTATCTTCCCATTGCCCGTTTGAATGGCTGAGGCTGCTTCTTCATGAGTGTTGTATCTGACAAACCCAAAACCTTTATCTCTCTGGACTCGAACATCCTCAATTACACCAGCCCCAAGAGCATGAAAATGACGATGCAGCTCAGCCTGGGTGACCTGATCAAACAGACCAAATTGTCAAGCAAAAGGTACAGAGCCAAGGAGCCAACATCTTATCACTTCCATTCAGAAGTAAGAGCGATCAAAGAAGATAAAAAATATGACATGAAACCAATCACTCTCAAAATCAGAATTTCCTAAACAGATAGCATGCTTTTTATTCAATCTGTTGCCTATAAAGCACTTATTTAATAAATGCAATATTGGAGATAAAAGTTACCACTTCCAAAACAAAAGAGGGTTCTACCTAAACATGTAGAAGAAAGCAGTAAAATAACTGTAAATTGCTTATTCATCCTTTAATTACCTCATGGGAAAGATTGCCAACATAGACAGTGGTGTATGCAGGATTGCTTTCAGGAGCCTCCTCGTTAGTGCTTTCCTGACCTCCTTCTGCTTACCAAGATACAAAAGTAAAACTCTGTCAGCATTCAACTCTCCAACCATGCATTTACAAAAGATATCTGTTTTACAAACTCAATACAGCAGGAAATTGCTCAACTCAAATTCAGAACTCCGGAGTGGAAAATGAAGTTCAATAGCGATTACAGCTGAAATAAATTCATGCCAAAATGAAGCTCACATATGGCAAATCAAACTGATAGTGATCACACACACACACCCCTGAGTCCACTTCATGAAAGCATGGACTAGCAAAATACTTCGGGACTTTGAAATCAGCTAGTCACCTATCTACGCATGCTTGGTAAATAACCTATTAACCATAAGTGCAGATACGAAATATGGAAAGAAAACAATTTCTTATTTAAAGTCATTTGCCATTACTCAAGTGGCATTGGATTGAATCCATCTCATAGTTGAGATACAAAGGACAAAAAGAGGGAGAGAGCTACCCCCTTTCTAAGTATTACGCAAGGCTCAACGACCTTTTGGATCAAGCAAAGAAAAAAAAAAGATTATTTTACATAACGTGGGCTGAATTACCAGAAAAGGTTTATGGTACCTGAAGATCCATTAGTAAGTACAACTGCATTTTGGTTATCACTGTTTTGCTTATCTTCATTGGATTCAACACCTTTAGTTGCCCAATTACATCTTATCTGCCTGTTTCCGAGCCATTTACCTCCAGTTCAGAATGGAGCAAAACATCAAAATCATGCACTAACTCTTCCCAGAGAGCACAGAAAAGTTAAACCAAGGAAACATGGATAAACTTATGTGCCTTACCAGTTAAGTCATTAATAGCACTTTGTGCCTCCTGCATAGTAGTATCATAAGAAAATTAGTTTATGGCTCAAGCAACTTCTTAAGAAATTTTAGTCAATATCCAAATGGAAAAATCAGAACATAAGGATATCCATGCCACCAGACATCTAAATCAGTCTTCAATTTGCTGTTGGAAACCAATCATTATTCACTCAAAAACATTGAAAATAGATTCGTCAAAAAGAAATTAAAATGGAAAATAAAAGCAAATAATTTCTTCTTGAATCTTTATATCCCCAAATAAACTAGAAAAGTACAAACAATTCTAGCAGAGGACCTCAATACTTCAAGCTCCAAGCAAAACATTGTTAACTCATAAAATCTTCTATCAACTTGAACACACTGTGAAACAAGAAGTTCATAAAGCGTAAAATGGATTAAGAAATAAATCCACAACCCTCAAACTTGATTCAGTAGCTACTCATAACTGGAAAGCAGTACCTGCTGATTACGGAATGAAACAAAGCCATATCCTTTCGAGCGGCCAGTTTTGTGATCCCACATGACCCTTGCATTGCTGGAAATGAAACAACATTGTGAAAACAAACATAAGGTTTTTAGAACAAAAACAACAACCTGGTATTTTTACACAGCCAAAAAAGAGTATAAGACATGAGTAACATAAAAGAGAAGGTAGCAGTCCACGTTAACATGTTAACCAAGATTGTTAACATCAATCAAAGAGAAAAATCATGTTGTAACAAATACATCTGGAGTTTTAGACAAAGTGCATAAAAGTACAGAGTGATTTAGCCATTTACATTTCAGTGATATCTTCTTTTCCCACTTGAGTGACATGTGTTTGGTTCCTCAACAGTGTCATTAACTGTTTTAGCAGCAAGAAATATGTCCCTTACACTGCATTTAACAACTACTTAAATGGATGAGCATGATTGGGTTTACTTAAAAGTGTCACAAATAGCAAAAGGGCATCATCACCTTTGCCTTATTTTTCTTATAGTATTGACACATTTAAGAGCATTGCTTGAAGAATAAAACACAAATACGTGCAAATGGCCAAATTACAAAATACTTTGTTCGCACTTGACCCAAAACATTTTGGATGAAAAAAATGATAAACAGAAAACAAGGAACTTACGAGCAACTAGGAAAGACTGAGAAGCAAGCAAATAAATTAGCATCAGTAACCTCTGGACTCAAATCACCAACAAATACATGGAAATGCCCTGACAAGATGAAAGAATAAACCCATAAAAACCGTGAACAAACAAGACACAACCAAATAAAAAACAGCTGAAACAATGAAACGGCAAATAACCTGATGTATCCTCCCTTTGGCTATTGCCATATGCCCAATTCACTTTAAGCGCCTGACCATAACTGGAAAATTGTATTAATAAAGCACAAAATCTATGATGTCCAAAAAAAAAAAAAGAGTTCACCAATAAGGTAGCATTTGCTACAGAGTAAAAATTGAATAAAGTCATACTGATTATTTGCAAATCTTAATTACTCAATACACAACATGCAATTAAATCAGTATTTCTACAAATAAATAAGTGGCATGGTCCAGAAGAAAATGACAGAAATTAGGAAAAAAGATTCAGTGGTACAAACCATATTATGTAAAATCATTTCCTTGCACTTGTTTTAGATTGTCAGCTGAACGAATCCATTGGGCTAAAGGTACAAGATTAGCCAAGCTTAATAAAGGAGACACAAAAACTTACAGTTGGCGTCCATGCAATGTCATTATTGCAAGTGCTGCAGATGATTGGTCATGGTAGTCCACAAAACCGTATGATGACTGCAATTAGCACAAACCATATGAATCATTAAAAAAAAGTGCAGGCAACATTATGGAAAAGAATATTGTAAGAAGACAACAGGCAAAACCAGCACAAAATCAGAAGAGAAGAATTTTTTCAGAGTAAGAGAAATACAATATCGAGAACAAGTCATCCTCTATTCCTAACACTAAAGTTTCTTTCTTTGTTTGTTTTTTTTCCTTCCCATCTGAAATAATACTAGAAAGTGCAAAACACTTGAAGAATTCAACGAAAAATGTCGGAAAAACAAGAGGCTGGGGCAATGGGGAGTTGAATTGATCGGTAAGGAAAGAAAGAAAGAAACCTTATCCTTTCTGATGAGCTTGCATCCAGCAAGAGGGCCAGCAGTTGCGAAAACTTCAGCAAGAAGCTTGTCAGTGACGTTTACATGAATATTTCCTACATAACTAATAGATCATCCATGGAAGGAAAGAGGGTTAGAAATTTTAAAAAAAAATTAAAATCCAAGGGAAGGGAAATTAGGAGAAAGATGAAAGAAAAGAAAGGGGAGAAAATGAAAGAGGCTTACACTCTGCGACAAGAAGAAGAAGACTCAAAAGCAGGAGGCAGATTACCACCAAGGATAGGCTCCATCTGCACCAACCCAGCAAAATAAAATAAAACATCATATTTATATTAAAATAAATGAAAAGGGAATAAAATTTGAATTTAATTAACTGAAGAATGAATGAATGAACTAAAAAAAAGTGATTGAAGCGGAAAAGAAACATAATAAACAAAGATTGAAAATTTAACAAACAGAGGGAGAGAAAGACCTGAGACATTGCAGAAGCGACGAGAGCAGGATGATGATACATGTGATGATGTTGAAGCAGTGTTTGCTGTTGCATTCACGCTCTTCAAGATGACGACAGTGACGGGGACAACGGTTCTCGCTCTCCCTCTCCTTTTCTTCCACCCTTTTTTTCCCTCGGTTATGTTATGCCCCGCTTTTCAGCAGCTTCATCAACGATCCCTAAATTTATATTTTTATGTTACTACTCCAGCCATTTTATTTTTAAAGTTTATTATTATTATTATTATCATTATCCCTCATGGAAATGATTAAACTCCATGGCATTTAGTTATTCGTATAATAAATTTAGTTCCATTAATTAAACCATCAAGAATCAAAATGTTATCTGATATTTCTTGATTATTGAAATAAAAATATTTTAAATGGTTTTCAATGAACACCATATTTCTCTCTACTTTTTAATATAAAAATTGATTTTATGGTTTTTAGTTCTTGGAAAAAACATATTTCTCTCTATTTTTTAATATAAAAAATGATTTTTTGTTCCTTGAACACACTTTTTTTCTTGAGTTGGATCTTCCATATTTATTGAAATATTAAAACACAAATTTTTAGTATTTATCGCCAACTTGTTTCCAAAACAAATTCCAAAGCTTCAATTAATTACAAAGATAAAAGCATCCAAGTTAAATAATATAACGCATAAATATAAACATATCCCCAAAAAAATATTCAGAAGAAGAATTTCCATGGTGAGTGCATCATTTCTAAACTTAAATTACCACACAGCAGCTTTCCAAGATTTTAAGCAATGGCCAGTCTGTTGAATATTGTGAAACCGGCAACCAGACTGTCCAAAAAAACCCCAACAAGACATTTCAATTGCTACCTTACAATTGCAAGTGAGGTTCTGGCCTAGCGGTAAAAGAGGTTTGTCCCCTTCCTCTGCACCTGAGTTCGAACTTTACCATGCACGTCTGTCACCCCCGCGGTGCCTTACCTGCTCACTGGGCTTGCAGAATGTTCAGTGGGCCGTGGGGATTAGTCGTGGTGCGCGTAAGCTGGCCCGGACATCCCACGTAAATCAAAAAAAAAAAAAAAAAATTGCTACCTTGCAATATAATTGCATATTCTTACACTGCTGTACAAAATTATATTGTAAGAAGAATCTCTCTTGTCCATACAGGGGCTGGAACCCTTTTCAGAAGAGCAATGTTTTCTTCTGTTGAAACTAAAAAGCTGCCTTCGTTCAACAGATCCATTGATTCATTCATTGTTTCAAGGCGTTAGCCAAAAATGATTCCATGTATTTACTATTTACCAACTCCACTCTCCCTAGCCTCAACAGCTTCTTTGACTCTCGGTTTGCTCTTAGGTTTGGCAGGATCGACCTACATTCGCTTTCTCCAGTCTGACGTCCTCTGGCAATGTTTCAAATAACACCCCAAACATGAATAGTTAGATGAAGATCCTGGAAGTCTAAAACTATCAATTGCTTCATAGATTCATCAAGGCGAGAAATGCAAAGAGGTACTTTGTATGGAGTGCAATAAAAGAGAAGGTTTTTTTAACATAGATCCATCAAGGGGAAATGGTAAAGAGATACCGTGGATGTAGTGCTATAAAACAAGGGTTTTGGGTTAAGAAATTCAGAGTATTTTTATCTTCATCACTTACAAGCAATCATTTCATGCAAATAACTACTGTTAATAGTCTCCCTCCCCAATTGCGCCGGTATTCCCCCCACTTCGCTGTGATCGTAAGCAGTGATTGACCTTGAGGTAGACAGGAGCCATAACGGTTCACAAAAATGATACGTCCCCCTTAATATGCAATGATCCTCGTTTGCCCTTATCTCACACTAACTTAAAAGTGTAGTTCACTACCATGCTAATCCCCTTAGGGTTCCCCACATACGGGGGGCCCAATCCATTTGGGATGACTCTTTACATTCCATTTTTCCCCTCTAACTTCATGCATCAGTAATAGTCCCTTCAACTATGCTTGCCAACATGGATGAGAAATTAGGCTAGATCGTAGTAACATATGAAAATCACTACTCAATACAACACAAAGAAATGCTAAACAAGACATACCTTGGGAACAGAAACCATTGTTTGGCGTTGTTTAACCATCTATGCAACCCTTCCGATCTTTAGTATCACAGGATGCCCGTCCTTTGGATGGTCACCCTAACAAAAAGAAAAAATAACTGAGTGCAACAATAGCCAAAGATGAGGGAAAGACATATCCGTAGAGAAATTAACGAGCATACCAATGTCCGAGGGTAGCGTAGCAAATCGAGAGCAACTTCAAGAGCAATAGCATCCACATCTTTTATCTAAAAAACAGAACAATTCTGTCCATTTAATACTTGTTCGCTAACTACAATTGATAGCATGGCACAAAGTGTTTTTCCAAGAACAAGTTCGATCCATCCAAGCAGATGCTAGCAGGAAAAAAATAGAAAAAAGTAAAAAAGAGTGAGCACAAAACTTCAATGAATAAAAGATACTAACAATATGCTGGTGCAGAGCAGCATGACGAATGACATCACTAAATGTGCCCCCGAAGAAAAGAAACCAAGAAATGGACAATGCACACACAACACTGCATCACCATAAATGGTATCAGAAAGAAAAATGAGGTTCCAAAACAGTTGCATGTATCATGCAAGCAAATCTAAACACACATGGGAAACAGAAGATCTTTTAAGCGTACAACCTGTCCTCTCTTCACCAAGCTGTACATAGAATCCATATGGACCTTTTTTCAAAAGAACCTAAAAAGGAAGGAAAAAATTTCTGGTCAACTTGAAAGAAACAGCAAACAGACCAGTTGCACTGGTTAATGGAATTGATACCCTGACACTTGTGCAAAGAACTAAAATTTTCTAGGAAAACCTTCTCATCGGAAGTTGAATGAACATCAAGCAGTCTTATTTCATCAACATTAGTATCATTAGTATCTTGAAGAGTTTCTTCTTCCTCATCATCACCATATAATGTCTTTGCAATGTACCTGTAGTATTGAACAGCAAAACTCAACATTTGCTACCAAATAAAAAAAGGAATGTGGGGGTTGCGAGGTCTAGCGAGTGTTCTCAGAAAACTAAATCCGCTGTCATGATTAAGAGAATCACTCAATTGGAAAAACAAAAGGAAATAAAAGGTTATTGATTAGTACTTAAAAGTATATTTTTAACAAAGTCTTATATTAGCATTTTACTCTTGAAGTATCAATAACTACTTAACTAAAATATGTTTTATAATAATAAGTCTGATAGTATAAGATATCTTTAATTTATGGTAAATATTCATTTTAAATGAAGACCTATCACATAAATTAAAGGATTAATTGATGAGTTCAACTACTGAAATTGAGAAGATAAAGAGAGGGTGAAGCTTAAAAAAGTTACATTAGTCCAGTCCAAACTGGAACACTATTTAGCCATTGGGTCATATCTAGAGTTGTAGAACTTGGATTTGGATCTGCTCTATATGAATAGAAAGCTAAGATATGGGCCTAAAATATTCATGAGGAATGCAAGACTCAATTCTGTTGTTTGAAAGTTTAAACCTTAACAACAATAGAAAAGTCTAAATCTGTCATGCAGTCCAGACACTATTTAGTGTTCAACCCATAAATTGAGTTCTAGGAGTCCAAATAACCTTAATTTTTTTTTATTGAAAAGCTGAAGCAATTTCCTAGAACTTTCATTGTTAAAGTCTGTTCGAATTCTGATGTTAACAATTACATTTTTAGCAGACAAGAAGATAAGGATTGTCACCAAGTCAAAAAGTAGTCACCCACTCAACAATTAATCATCAAATTAATAGTTTTAAATTTTGGCCTATAAAAGGAAGCATTTGTCATGCATTTAGACATCTTAGTTTTCAGATTAAGATCATGCTCTTTATTTTTTTCTTTATATTTTTGTAATGTTTATGTTTTATTTCATGTTATATTTTCCTTAATCTCTTGTTTATATTTTTCATTTCTTTTACTATACTTATATTCTTATATTGTTTATTTATATTTCTCTTTTTCATTATGTTTAGCTAAGTTTATTATGTCAAAGTGAAAAGGTTACACTAATGGTGTAAGAATAAATATAGTGTAAACTTAACATGGACTTTAATGTTTGATACTAACATGTTTTGCATTTGTTATCTTATTCACTTTTAATATTTTGCTTGTTAAATGGTTAATGTAGATTTATGTTATACATATGTGCTATGAAAAGAACTTGATTTGTTGTTAACATAAGTTGGAATTATGAATACTTAACAATATTTATAAGTAGTAGCATTATTCTAATAAGATAACTAATGTAATCATATTAACAATTTATAATCCGATTGAAACCTCCTTTGCGTGTGGTTTTCAATTGAGTAATAAAAAGAATTTATACTATATTTGTTTGAAATATCATCAATGGATCCTTTAACCTTGATATTTATTTTTATCATTATTTAATCCTCACATTAATTTTACAATTTCAAATTCTTATTATTATTGTTGTTATTTATAATTTATACAATTAACCTCCCTGTGATTTGATGTCGGTCTTGCCGGATTATTTATTACTTTGATGTTTCTACACTTGAAAAAAAATCTTTTGGTCATGTATGTTATCTCATGCCTAAACTATCACAAAGTAGTGAAATAAACTAAAGATACATGTGGATGCAGCTTCTCTATCTTTTGCCTCAGATTTACTTCAGAATACAACAGTAAACCAAATTGAAGTATCATTATTAAAAGACCAATGGCTTAAGAGACTTCCAGTGTTTAAGTGTGAATTAAAGGCTGACCGAGACACAGACATATACAGAGACCATTCATTGGTGAGATTTTGAGAATGGTTGATGGAGGTAATAGAAGAGAGTCCATCTCTTCTTAGTTTAAGCTGCGAGCATTGCGTGTAATTACGACAAGTGGTACAAAATGATAAATAAAATGCTGGATAATTCAGAAATGCCCGGCTTTGTAACTGCAAACATCGATGCAAAAGGCAAAACAAAAAAGATATGAATTAATTTAAAGTTAGCATCTTTATCAATGTATTATGCCATGCAGAGAACAGGAATCTAAGAATGAAATGCTTTGTTTTTTGTTTTCATTGACTAAGTACACAAAGAATCAATTTTTATCAAATGGAGCATCAAGAATCACAGATATAAGAGTAAAAATAGAAAAATTAAACTGAAACTAGAAGAAGAGAAAAAGAAGGAACCTTAGCCTTCAGATGACAAAAATGGAAAGCTGTAGCAGAAGAAGTAGATAGTGACAAAAAGCTCTTCATCTCCCACCTTCTATTCCTTCATTTCCTTTGCTCTTTTGTTAATAAAGTTTCATGCTTTCCTCCTTAACTTGTCTTTTTTCCCTTTCCCGTTTTGCAGTGTCTGTGTTTTCAGCTTGGTGGCGGTGGAAGAGAGGAAACCTCGGGGTCACAGAGGGTAAGGTCCAAACTCCAGGGTTTTGCAAAGGTTTATTAGTTATTATTTTAGCCCTTCAAAATACAAAATTTTTGCTCCAGTGTCTCGTAACGGGGTCGAGCCGGTCAAATATAGTGGTCCGGGCCAAGCCCAACAGAAAATATTCATAACTTTTCGGGTCGTCAATCCATTAAAGCGGAGTACTTCTTTAGTTATCGGGGCCCCGACTCCGATAGCCATCTGGTTCTCTCTCTCTCTCACTCCCTCGTTCGATCTCTCTGTCTCTCATTCTCCGATAAGCTCTTTGCCGGTTTTCGTGTAGTAAGATTTGGCTCTGCTTTGGTTAATATAACAGAAGGTATGCTTCTTCTTCTCCTTCTCCAGTATTTCCTCTTGTAGTTGTAGTAGTGCACGTCATATTTAATAGCTGTTTGTTAGCTGAGAAAATTAGCAAGACTCTCAAAGTTTCAATTTTTAATTACTTAGCCTACCAATGAAGTATTGAATGAATGCGGGATTTTAGGGTAATTGTTGTTTCTTATGTGAAATCATGGTGAGTTTGAGGATGTGTTTTAAAAATTTATTTAGTTTTTTATTTGCTAGGTTTAATGGATAGGCAACCGCCGCCTCCGCCCCATGATTATGCCGTAATGGCATATGCTCAGCAGCAGCCACAATATGGATATCCTCCTCCACATCAACACCAACAATACCCTCCCCCACCTAATCCATTCATGCCTCCTCCTCATCCTTCAGTGCAGCAATATCCCTACACTCAACCTCCTCCACACCCTCACCATCTTCAACACCCGCCACAGCAACAGCAGCACCCTCCGCCTTTTGCACCACATTTACCGCCTCACCTTATACCTCCACCTTTTCATACTCCTACTTATGATTCTCCCCCACCTCCGGCTCCCTCTCCATCTGATCCTGAGCTTCAGAAACGTATAGATAAGCTTGTTGAGTATGCCATAAAGAATGGGCCAGAATTTGAAGTCATGATCCGTGAAAAACAGCAGGATAATCCTGCTTATAGTTTCCTTTTTGGAGGAGAGGGTCATGCATATTATCGGTATAAGCTTTGGTTATCTACGCGTAGTCCTCTCAATCCTCCTTTCCAAGCATCTTCTATGATGCATCCACCACCAAACCCAATGATGAATGCCACTGTTGGGCCTCCTCCTCAAATGCACCAACCTCCTTTTCCACCTTTTTATGATCACCTTCACCAGCACACTCCACAGCCCTTTGGTGTTCATAGTAGATCAGATTTTGATCAACCATCCAAGTCCTTTAAAGGACTCTCTGGTCCACTTCCTCCTGATGTTGCAGTAGAACTCAGTAATGTGCTTACCACTCTAAATGGTACCAAGGAGTCTATCAAAGGGGCCAAGACTTGGTTCATGCAAAGGTCTCCATTTGCACCAGCTCTTGCCGAAGCACTTAGGGACAGGATTTTTTCTCTGGATGATTCTGAGAGGCAATTGCACATCATCTATCTCGCCAATGATATTCTTTTTGACAGGTATGGTTCTACTTTTGCATTGCTGTCTGAACTTACTGCAACTTGATCATTCCTTAACAAAATCTGTATTGTTCAGCAACAGCTGTTTGTCTCTGTTGTTTGTTCATAAGCTCCTTACATCATACACTCATGTTTGATTCATTTTCTTTTCATTCGTCTCTCCTTCCCCTCTTAAGGATGCATATATCTTTAATGGAATTGATCTTTGTAATTGTGTGCCTTGTGCTAGAAGGACCTCTTTAGTCAAATATTGCTATAATCCTTCATGAGTGGATTCCTTGTCAATATTATCTTAATCTGAGGTCTTCTGTTCTTAAAGAAGCTTAAACTCTGTGTTTTCATTGCTTTGAAATCTAGTCCCATTGAGGTAAATTACTCAAAGTTATATGGTTGATCAGAATTGGATGCTTACTGGTAATCGACCTTGAAATGGTTCATCAGAATGTAGATACTTACCTATAATTGAATTTGACAAAGATCGAAATAAGATAAATAAGTATTGAATTGCAAAGTAGAGAATGAAGTTGTTGACTTTCAGCTACCAGAAGTAGATTTTTCCATTTGAAAGCACCCTTGAATGATAGATTTATAAGAAATCAAGGAACCAGAATTTTGGAATACTTTGACTGGCGAAAGCACCCTTGATAGTGTAAATTATTTGAAATTTGTGGTCCCAGCTTCCTTCCTAATTGAAAATCTCCCTCTTTTACATAGCATGTAATGGCTTAAGATTTTGGTACGTGTAGATAGGATTTATTAAAAGTATTGCCATTGCAAAGATATAAACCCAAAGTTGCATATTTGTGGCCTATTCATAGTTTTAAGCCCCACGTGTTATCCTTTTTATCTGTCTCACAAATATTAGTGAGAGAACATTATATCTTACTGCCTTCTATAGTCTCTACAGTATATAATTGGAAAAAACTTACAAACAGGGCCTCAGATAAAAGGCCACATAATAACATTTTTTGTAGTTTGGGAATAGATTTCAGAAGGCTGAAGTATCTCTCTCAATCTCCAATGCTCTTTTTTTTAGCATTGTCTCTTCAGTCTGCAATCTAGCTCCATGATTGAGCAGCTGCTTCTCCTTGAATTCTAGCCTTAAAAGGCCAAACTCAATCCCAGCTTTAGGCCTTCTTTGTATGAGCTTGAAAGCAAATGACAAGCAAGGAACACAAACTTTTGCAGGAGGTGATGGCTTGTTTTCACATCTTTGTATCATTAGGAGATTCTATGAAGTGGCACTGGGGGTGCTCCACCTGTATTGGGAAAAAAATTAACATATTCAAGTTTACATCATCAGCTAAAAGTCTGAGCACAATTTCAGATAACATTATTGGCAATCCCTAATGTTATTGTAGTTTCCTTTTTGCCACTGGAGCTCATATTAGATTCAGGTTACATATCTAATATGTAAAAGCTTTGGAATTTATGAGTGCACCTTGAAAGTTGACATTAATACGTCAATGTGTTATAGACTTACAGTTATATCTCCAAAATGTGCAGTTTCTCCAAAAGTCTTTATTGTCAGTCTTTCTTTTATCATCCTAATTACCCTGTGGCTGACTCTCTGCAGCTGCCAGTCTGTTAGGTCCTTCATATTTGTCTTTTGAAATATTTGACTATTTTTATTTTAAGAATTATCTTGTATGAATCTTCAAGCCTGCTTGATTTTTAATGCAACCCCCTGTAGATTTCCATCTCTGCTTGGTTGTATTTTGTTTTGGTTTTTCTACTTTCTTGCTATGGCATTGTGAGCCATGATTGCGTTTTTTTTCTTCGATAGAAATGATGATTTTGTTCATAGGGCAAGAGTAGTCTGAAACTTCCTTGACCTTTTTGCTATTCGTTACCTGCAGTTTGCAAAGGAGAATCAATCCCCATGATCTTGATAATGAAGCCCTTGCATTTAAGCCTGTGCTAGGTTCCATGCTTGCAAGGATTTATCACTACCCTCAGAATAAGGATGAAAACCAGTCGCGGTTGCAGAAAATTCTGCAGTTCTGGGCCTCAAAGGAGGTCTATGATCAAGATACCATTTATAAACTTGAAGGTGAGATGGTTAGCGGACCACCGGTAAATTCTTTTCCAGGGCCTCCAAAAGAATTATCTACTGGCTCAACAGATTCTGTGCCTGCTGCAGGTAGCTCCTTCCATCCTCTTGCTATGTATGCAGAGCATTTTAAACCAATAGTATTTGTATCAGGGGTAGTTGTGACTACTGATTGAGTTTTAGGGGCAGCTTAATAGCCTAACGTGATTTGTCTTCGGATTTGTTTTGAAGAATTTGGCAATTTCATTCTCGTGAGAAATGTCACAGAAGTTCCTTTTCCTGCAGGCTTTACTCAACATGCAACAAGCCACAATGCTCCACTATGGCCACCTGATAGGCAAAGTGTACCAGATCAGGAGCATCTTGATAAACAAATGCTGCCCGTCATGCTTCCAACCCTAGGAAATCAGCAATTTATTCCAAATCCTGTCCCTGCTGCTACCTTTCCAGGTTCCCTGCCCATAAATTCCTCTGTTCTGCCAGCAGGTCAACAACCTGCACCACATTTATTGCAAGCACCTCCTGCTAACATTGCTGAAAACTTGTCACCATATCCCCTGTTCCCACCCGGTCTTATTCCTGGAATGGTCAGAAAGATGCAGATTGGCAGTGGGGTGCCCTACTCGCCTTTGAGCCCTTTGGACATCCCAACAACCATACCCCCATCCAATGTATCCCCATCAGAAATTCTAGATAGAGTCTCAAAGTTTTTTAAAGAGATTGGAGAGGTTAACCCATCAGAGGGACCTATGAGAGCTGACCTAAAAGATGAAGATGATGAGTATGAGAGAGAGTCTCCCATTCGCAAGGGGGGAGCTTGCATCCCTCCTCCCCCTAACTTACAGGTTGAGCCAGAGACAGGAGCTTATGCAGATGGAAGTGTGGAGCGGAAACATGGAACTGGCTCAGGAAGACTGGGACTTGGGGCAACAGCCGATCCTAATGAGCCAAGTCAATACGACGATGTTTACACATCTTACAGGAAACAGAGAAGCACCAACTATCACTCATCCATGAGTGTAAGGGCTGCTACTAGGTAGAAACCCCGTGCATGCGCATGGCTCACATCGATTTGTTGTTAACTGGAAAAGCTGGAGTGGCTGTACTGTCTGCCTTCCCATCTTTATCAAAGTGGTGGGTGTATTCATGGGAACTTGGATGTGTAGCAGGTCGTCAATCTTTGGATTATGCTAGTTAAAGTTTCGATTTAGAAGAATGTGGTAGCATGCATTAGACGGTCCTCCCTGCGAGTGTTGTAATCATTCAACCAATACCAACATTGGCGTAGAAAGTTCAATATAATTACCCGTTTGTGAGTCTTGTTGCCTGGATGAAGAAGAAAAAAGGAATTATGAAGTGCATTTTTTTCTATTTTTTTACATCTATTTTAATAATTCAATAGCCTTTGATTTTCCCGCTAGTAATAAATGGCAGGCAGTAATTAGCACGAAATAATCTGTGTGATGGAACTTAATCTCAGGTGATGAACAAGCTGATAATTGATGTTTTTTTCCTTAATTACTGTGCATTATTCAGTTTATTTGCATGTGTGTATTCCCCACTTGTTTACAACAACTGTACAGTGTGGGAAAACTTCCTGAGGTGTGGGAAACGCTAGGAAAATATCTTTTAATGCAGGAAAAAAAAAGAAAAAGAAAGTTTAGATGACCAAAGGAGTATTATTAAATTGGCGTGTGAAAGAGGCCCAAATTAATTGTTTTTACTTTCTAGCCCTATAAAAATTTATTAGCCAGAAATTGACTAATAATAAAAATTACTTAGAAAACTAAAAGGCATGGGTTTTTCCATGAGAGATTGCACTGTTCATCTTCTCAAATTTGAACTTCTTTGTTTTTTTAATTTGATCTCAAGATGTTTTAGACGTGATTTCATTCCTTTTGAACTAGATTCAAGGACCATAGAATAAATTTTATCAGTTAAAGATGAGATTGAAAGATTAGGAATAAAAACAAAAATGTATTGAAAGATTAGGAATAAAAACAAAAATATTTTAAATAGGTGATGGTTTTCAAGTTAATATAAAAGTTTAATTTGATCCTCATATTTTTAAAAATATAAATATATAAATGTTTAGTATCTCAATATTTTTTCAATTATATTTTGATATAAAAGTTTATTTTTTGTTATTTTTTAGTCTCTAATTTTTTTTAAAAAAAAAAGAGAAGAAATTGTTTAATTTCAACAAATTGAGAGAAAATATCGTTGACGTTGATTTACGCCATCAAAATAATTGATTTTTATTTCAAATGATTTCATTTGATGAATAGAGGTTATATTAGGTGAATTTATTTTAGTTTTAGGTTGATTTTTGATTTTAGAATGATTTTTAAAGTTTTTAGAGGATATGGATAGGTTTATTACAACTTCTAAAATATTTTCTACGTGTTTTGATTTAAAAAAAAAAGGTTAAAAAATTGGTTTTTAGTCAAAGAACCATTTGACCTGATTTTTCAGATATCACAACAGTTAGATTCTGAAAAAATCAAGGAGCATATTATCTAATTTTTTTTATTAAAAAAAATAAGACAAACAATATGGTCTAGATGTAACATAAAAAAAGGGCTCATGCTGATGCACAAGGACCCAAATGAATGGGTCAAGTAGGCTGATCTAACTTATTTTTTAAAAATTAATAATAATATTTTTTTTTATTATTTTAAATTAATGCTTTTTTTTAGAATTATTTTTTATTTGTATTTAGATTAATATACTTTCTTTCTTTTATTTTGTTTATATAGCTTTTTTTTAATGACAAATATTTTTTAGCTCTTTTATTTTTGCTATTTTTAATATATATTTTGAATTAATATATTTTTTCAAAATTATTTTTATTTATATTTAGATTAATATCCTTTCTTTTTCTTCTTCTTCTTTTATTTTGTTTATAGAGCCTTTTTTAAACTATAGTTATTTTTTGAATATTTTTTTTTAATATTAAGTAATATTCTAAAATGTGTGGGGAAATTATTATAACTTTTCTTATATTTTTTTGTTTTTTTTGTTTTACATGTTTTATTTCTTTTTTTCTTCCCCAATATTGTCTTCTTCTTCTTTTTTAATTCTTTTTTATTTTTTTTAAAAATTATCTTTATTAATTATCTTAATATTGAACTAGTTAAGAATTTAGTTATGTAATTTTTTCTTTAAAATATTATGGATTGTTACAATGTTTTCCTACATGATTTTTTTATTTTTTAATGAATTTTTTTTTTTTCAAAATAGTCTTTGTCGATTTTATTTTTTTTATGTTGAACTAGTTAAGAATTTTGCTTTGTATTTTTTTCTTTAAAACAGTATGAATTGCTACAATGTTTATGTACATGATTTTTGTTTTACTATAATGCTTCTTTATATTTTTTTCTAAATTATCTTCATCAATTTTTTTAATATTGAGTTGGTTGAGAATTTAATTTTAACTTTTCCTACATGTTTTTTTTTTCAGAATTGTTTTTGTTAATTTTTCTTAATATTAAGTTGATTGAGAATTTAGATTTATAATTTTTTCTTTAAAATACGTTGAATTGCTACAGTATTTTTCTATATGGTTTTTTTATGATTTTTTTTATTTTTCTTTTCAGAATTATCTTTGTTAATTTTTTTTTCCTATTGAGTTAGTTGAGAATTTAACTTGACAATTTTTTTCTTTAAAACATTGTGAATTACTATAATATTTCTTTATATGATATTTTTTTCTTTATGATTTTTTTTATAAACTCAAGACAATACACAAGCATGCCACAAACCTGCGGTGTCATGCGAGCTTGACATCTAATATATATATATTAACATTATTTAACCCGTTTGAGTCTATAACTTAGATCATAGATTTGACAAGATAAGTTACAACACCAGGGTTATTTTTTTTTTAGTTTCACTTTTTTTATTAATATTTTTTTAAATTTATTTCATTTAACACCACTCATATGTGATTTTTTTAGTCCACTTATTTAACTTTTTTTTAGATAGAGGTTTTTTTTAAAATTATTTTGTGTGTTTAATTTTTTAAAGCAGTTTTTTCAATTCATGTATATTTTTTTTAATTTCTTGTATAGATAAACTTTATTTTTTAAAATACTAATAAAAAATTCAGATATTTTTTCTAATATACATAGCCTTTCATATTTTTTTTAATATTTTATTCAAACAATTTAATATGTATATCTATTTTTATTATTATTTAATGGGATAACAAATTATTTTGATTAATAAGATTCATCAAATACAACCAGTTTATATATCTTAAATTGCAAGATTAAATATCTTGATTTACATTTATTTTTAATTTTATTTTATTTTATTTTTAGTTAGTGTTAATGTTTTTTTTTTAATTTATCTATATATATAATTTTAGATTTATTTGATTATATATATGGATAAAAATTTTAATTTATACTTAACAAAATTATTAGTTATAAAAATATGTAAAAAAATATATATTTATTTTTTTAATAACAAATAAAAATATTTGACACAACTAATCACGAAGACAGACATATAAATAGTTGATAACATAATAATAGAATGAATGAAAGCAATTTTCCGGCTCTTGTCTGCTAATGTTTATTAGGCTGCCAGTGCCATGCACTCATTCAAACATATGATATTAAGACCATATGCAGTCTGCTCTCCAGTATGAAAAAATACTGCAGGAATCTATTATTATGTTATCAATGGAAAATAAATTTGGAAAATACATAAGGGCAATTGTGTCAATGGAAAATCACGAGAGAAGACAAAAGAAAGAAGAAGGAAGAGAAAACCGAAGAAGCATTGAAAGTACAAGCAATGGGAAGCCAAGCGGGGACTGGCTGACTGACTTGCTGTTTAGCTTGTTTCTTTGTTTTTGTCTAAAAATCTTCTTCCTCTTCTTCTTCAGCTACAACATCATCATCTCTGACTTTGTGTTGATGATGGAGATGAAGATTATGCATTTGCTTTTATCGTTGATTGATTGATTTCCATTTCATTTCATTTCGATTCGCAGAGAATCAGACGTAGGCAGGCAGGCAGCTTTTTGCTTTTTTTTTTTTTTAATTTACTACTGCTACTTTGTATTTATTTCTTAATTATTACTAACAACTATAATAGTCATACTCATCTCTCTTTTTTCTTTTCTTAACTGTGATTGTGTTCAAGACAAATTAATTTTATTAATTAGCTGATCAAATTTTTGTCAGACCCTCTTCCTCTTTTCTCATTTCTATATCTAAAGCTCTAAGCTTTCTCCCGATCCTTTTTGTTTCCCTTGAAAGAAAGAAAATATTTGAAGTTTAGCTCACAATATTTGCAAGGGCTTTGATTGATTTTGAAGGGTTGTATTATGTCAAAAGCTTCTGACTTGTTGTGTGACTGATTTTGTGATATGAATGTTGCTTGCAGACAGTGACAGAAGAATACTGACTTTGTGTGGGTGTGGTGGCTTCAAATCTGTTGAAGAATGTCTTAACTAGCTCTTGCAAAGGTATAATCCTTCTCTTAACACTCGTAATATGATTTAGTAGTGGCAAACTTCATGGTTCTTTCTATTTTTGCTTTCTCATATTATGGCTTTTATCTAACCCCATTTGTTGACAAATAGGTTTCCAAAGTTGCCTGCTTTTCACCTCTTCCGTCTTTAATTCCATGATAATTAGAGAGTGATTTCGCAGGCACATGTCAAGTTGTTTCATTTTCTGCTTCTTAATCATCACTAATGATCTTTTGAGTCTTATAATCATGTCTGGCTTTTTACGTTCTGTCGTGTTCTTTTGCAATTAATGTGGTGCAAGCTGCGTAAATGGCTTCCGATATCATACCCCACTTAATCTTGATTCCCTTCACCCATTTCAGTAGTAAATACATCACCAGGCAAAACAATGCATTACTTACCGAAAATTGTTGAAGGATTTAAATCAAGATAACTAAAAATGCTCGTTTTTTTGTTTTGTTCTGGGGTACATGTGCTGGACACTCTGTAACAGTAGATGAGTGGCAGGAGTTTATGATAGGACGAATTGTGCGTCTCTGATTTTATCTTGACAAGTTCATGGTTGGGAAAATGGTGGAGGGTCAAAAATTTACTGGACTCATAGGAGCAAGTAACAACAATGGTAACAACTACTATGGCTTTACACAAGGTTTTTATCAAGAACTTGGTGATGGTACAAACATGTCTATTGACAGTTTACAAACAAGCCATGCCGGTGGGTCTGTCTCAATGTCAGTGGATAACAGTAGTGTCGGATCCAATGATTCTTTAACCCATATGCTAAGCCATCCAGGTTTAAAACCTGTCAACCACCATAACTATAGTGTATCAGTAGGCCAGAGTGTGTTTCGTCCAGGAAAGGTCACCCATGCCCTAAATGATGATGCATTAGCGCAAGCTTTGGTGGATAATCGGTATCCAACAGAGGGACTGCAGCATTATGATGATTGGACAATCGATTTGAGAAAACTCAACATGGGTACAGCTTTTGCCCAAGGTGCTTTTGGAAAGTTATACAGAGGCACGTATAATGGGGAGGATGTTGCTATTAAGATATTGGAGAGGCCTGGGAATAGCCCGGAGAAAGCACAAGTGATGGAACAGCAGTTCCAGCAGGAAGTTATGATGCTTGCAAATTTAAAGCACCCGAACATTGTGCGGTTCATTGGTGCCTGCCGGAAGCCCATGGTTTGGTGTATCGTAACAGAGTATGCGAAAGGGGGGTCAGTTCGGCAGTTTTTTACCAGGAGGCACAATCGGGCAGCACCGTTGAAAATAGCAGGTCAGCAGGCTTTAGATGTTGCGAGAGGAATGGCATATGTTCATGGACTCGGGTTTATACACCGTGATTTGAAGTCAGATAACCTCTTAATAGCAGCAGATAAAACCATAAAAATTGCTGATTTTGGTGTTGCACGGATTGAGGTGCAGACTGAAGGGATGACACCCGAAACTGGGACATATCGTTGGATGGCTCCGTAAGTCTCAACATCTTTTATACATGAAGGTTTCTTTCTTTTAGGTTACATTGTGACTGTATTCATATTTTGTTTCTGTGAGCATGTGATAGTTTTCCCTTTTCGGGGTTCTTTTTCTGATAAATGCATATTATTACAATAGATCTCCTCCCTTTTATTGCATGAATAAAGTATCTGATTATGAAAATGGTTTTAGATATAGGTTTTTAAGGAAATATTGGTAGTCCACATCATTGTTTGGAGCTGTCACTCAAATAAAGTAAAGAACTGCACAGTGAATGAGAAAGAATGTCTTAGGAAGTTGAGGTTTTCATAAATTTTCTGGAAATGTATTCATTCTTTTGCCTTTCTTCTTTCAGAGGGGGTAGGGAATGGCTTGTCCCTCGTCATTGAGGTTTCCCTTTTACCCTGATTCCATTGAATGACAATAGTGGTAGCTACTTCTATCAAGAAGAGTTGATGATGGCAGGGGAAGTAATGGCCGTCAACATCATTTTGGCAATTAGGAGAATTTGGGAAGCTTTTCTTGAGAATATTGGAATTCTATAGCAACATTGCTTGCAGTGCTATGCTGCCCTACGATTAGAATGGAGGGCCAGCAATGATATTCTATTTTCCTTTCTTATTTTTACCAGTGGATATACTGATATCTTTTGGTGAGGCCTGAAATACAACTTAAAAAGTAACTCCATCTTTCGTGTCTGGCACCAGAACTGGCTTATGCTGATTAATGCAATGTATATTATACTGAGGTGTGACAGCTTGCATTATATTGTCTCTGAGAAGCGGTTGGAGTATTGGTAGAATGTAGTACCTAAAAGGCAATTTTAATTATTTTAGATGATTGGTTATGCTGACAGCCATGCTCGCTCCAATTAAACTCCTAACTTGAGTTTTTTCTCAATGAAACAGACACTTGATCAGAGCATAAATTCATAGGGAAATGTTAAGGTTTATATATATATATATATATATATATATATTCTATCTGAAAGGAATTTAGTTGGTAGTGAGTAGAATTTGATGCATGTTCTGGAAAATCAATTCATTTATCGAACTATAATAAAACTAGATCTTAGTGTCATTGTCCGATCTGGATTTGAAGGCTGGTAATCGACTGCAACATACATCAGTTTTTCCTGATTTTTCTTTTTCAAGAATCTACATGCTTTTGCTGATAACCAGGGATTGTGATTTTAACCACCCTCTAAAGTTTTAAATGTCCCAATTCATGCAGAGAGATGATTCAGCATAGGCCCTATACACAAAAGGTGGATGTGTACAGCTTTGGAATTGTTCTTTGGGAGCTCATAACAGGCTCGCTTCCCTTCCAGAACATGACAGCTGTTCAGGCGGCCTTTGCTGTGGTGAACAAAGGAGTAAGACCGATAATCCCACATGATTGTCTGCCTGTTCTGAGTGACATCATGACCCGCTGCTGGGATGCCAACCCTGAAATTCGCCCCCCTTTCACAGATGTTGTCAGGATGCTTGAGAATGCCGAAACCCAGATATTGACCAATGTGCGCAAGGCACGCTTCAGGTGCTGCATAGCTCAACCCATGACAGTTGAATGATCCACCAGAATATAAGACTGAAAAACAGATGTTTAAGATGATACAAATGAAAATTGTATTATTAAACCTAAGCTGTATGAGCTGAAGCTATGTCATGTATCATTTTTCTTTCCCCCTTTTCCACCGCAAAGTAGAAAGATGTTAACCGTTTAGAGTGCTGCTTTTTTTTTTTGTTACCATTGCTGGTGGCAGTTGTACTGATGTATCTTTATCGAATGTCGTAGTGGTGGGGGAGCATTGATGTGTCTTCCCACAGAGCTATATATGGAGACCTGTCGTTTGTATTGTCTTGCTTGTCAGATAACAAACGAGGTCAGGTTCTCTGTCATTTGTTGTTGTTGAGGCTTATGCGAGGGCATGTTTTCCACATTGCTATGCCTTCTTGACGGGGACGAATTTGTGTGACGTAGTACATGGAAAAACGAGGTCCACTTGTTTAGGGCATCAGAACCTGATGTCATTAATGACAAATATAAATAACAGTAACTGTTGTTGTATAATTGCTCTATGATTTTGAGCATGTGGTAGCTGTTTTCTAGTCTTATTATGATTAGGAAACATCTAAATTTATGAGGTGAATTGATCAAATTCTCAGCTCTGCCAGGGAGTCAATAGTGTCACCTTTTATGAAGCTGTTGCTCACCTCCTCATCCAGGAGTGCCACGTGACCATATATCAATTAGCATCCAAAAAATGAGGAACCACACACACACACGCGCTTGCAACAAAAATTGTGAGAAATCAAAGGTTGCGACTCGAATGGAAGAATTTTAAACACTGAAGGACTTGGAAATAAGTGTCATGCATGGCCCATAACCATTTGCTATATTAGATTATCAAAATGAAAGGGCAGTAAAGTATTTTCACAAGAATTTCAAGGACATTTGTGTCCTTGGAGAAATTAAAAAAAATAAAACAAATAAATAAAAACTGAGACTTTGAAAGTAAATGCAAAGGGAAGACTGTTCTCTCTCTCTCTCTCTCTGTAGTTGTTGTAGTTCATATCTAAACATCTTGTCTTCTTCCTCCTCCTCCTATCCTTGCTCTTCTTCTTTTACTTTGTGATTCTTTATAGTAAAAGGCAGCTGAAGAATTGAATTCACACATTGTTGCTACTGTTGATGACCCCTCCTTCCTTTCACTAATTACTAGTAACCATCAGGTGGGTAAGAGGTATGCAACCATTTCTTTTTATCTATTTCACTGGTGCTCTTTCCTGATTTCTTTTAAATTACCTGATCTAATATCTGTCAGACCCTGGTTTTAATCTCTGGGCCTCTTACACATATATAAAGCTCTAAGCTTTGAATTTGTCAAATTTAGTCTTTAGAAGTTGAATTTGTCATATTTCAGCTCAATTTTTTTCCGTTTAAGTCTTTCTCAATTAGTTGTTTCGCTGGCTTGATGGGTTTGGATTTTCAGGGTCTTGACATGTGAAAGTTTGTATCTTTGTATGTGACTGTAACAGCTATGATATTTTCGTCACAGATAGAGTCTAGGATCGGGATAGCTGAATCTCTTTGAGGAGTTTCAGTTTTCATTAATTCATTCAATCATTGCAAAGGTATCACCTTATCATTTCAGAAATGTAATTTTTCTTATTATTATGTTTCTATATTAGCTTTCTGGTATAATTAGTTTAGGTCATTTGCCCCCAAATAGGTTCCCAAATTGCTCTGTTTCAGTGGAGATTGGTTAACGATTTCACTGTTACGTGTCAATTTGTTTCATTTTATTACTTCCTAACCATCACTACAAGATTAGGTTTTCAAAACATTTATTTCTTTTTATGTTCTGTTGTGATCTTATCTGGCAATAATTGTGGGTTGTCCTTGGGAGAACCGTGTAGAAGATTTTTGATGATGCCCCCACATAATCTTAGAACCGTGTAAAAGATTTTTGATGATGTTGTAATACCATAAATGATAGATAACCATTTCTAAGAATACTAAGAAAATTAGTGCATGCAACACGTTTCAAATGATAGCATTACTAACTGTTCATTGTCGTTTGATGTTGATCATAGCTTAAAAGTCCTCATTTGTGTGTTTATAGGGTCCATTTAGTGGAGATGCTGCCCATTTAATGAGCTTGACTAATTTTGGATAAAAAGAATTGGGTATTGTTGAGTTCATTTTGACGAATATTCATGATTGGAAAAATGGTGGAAGGGCCAAAATTTACTGGAATCATAGGAGGAAATACCAACAATGAGAACAACTACTATGATTTCACGCAAGGGTTTTACCAAAAACTTGGTGAAGGTACCAACATGTCCATAGACAGTTTACAAACAAGCAATGCCGGTGGATCTGTCTCAATGTCAGTGGATAATAGTAGTGTGGGATCCAGTGATTCTTTAACCCACATCTTAAGCCATCCAGGTTTAAAACCTGTCAATCATCACAACTATAGTGGGACAGTGGGACAGAGTGTGTTTCGTCCAGGGAAGGTCACCCATGCACTAAATGATGATGCGTTAGCTCAAGCATTGATGAATCCTAAGTATCCAACTGAGGGGTTGCAGAATTACGATGAATGGACGATTGATTTGAGAAAACTCAATATGGGTACAGCGTTTGCCCAAGGTGCTTTTGGAAAGCTATATAGAGGCACGTATAATGGGGAGGATGTTGCAATTAAGATATTAGAGAGGCCAGAAAATAGCCCAGAGAAGGCACAAGTGATGGAGCAGCAGTTCCAACAAGAAGTTATGATGCTTGCAAATTTAAAGCACCCAAACATCGTGCGGTTTATTGGTGCCTGCCGTAAGCCCATGGTTTGGTGTATTGTGACGGAATATGCTAAGGGAGGGTCAGTTAGGCAGTTTCTGACAAGGAGGCAAAATCGGGCAGTGCCATTGAAATTGGCTGTTAAGCAAGCACTAGATGTTGCAAGGGGAATGGCTTATGTTCATGCACTTGGATTTATACACCGGGATTTGAAGTCAGATAACCTTTTGATTTCAGCCGATAAATCTATAAAGATTGCTGATTTTGGTGTCGCACGAATTGAGGTGCAGACTGAGGGGATGACACCAGAAACTGGGACATACCGTTGGATGGCTCCGTAAGTCCCTACTCCTTCCATGCATTGAGTTTCCTTTCTCTGTGTTATTTTATGATTGTTATGCATATTTCTGTTGTAGCCAGATGAACTTTTTTGTCCTAATTCTGATAGATATGTTTTACATGGTCAATTCTTTTCCTTTACTGAATGATTAACCTATCTCTGCACATATGGCAGTACTCATAAGTTTTTTAGGAAATGGTGCTTTTCTCCCTCTGTATGGTGGTGTTGTTGATTAAATAAAGGAATGAAACATTGATAATAAATGAGAGAGGCATTCTAAGAAAGTGTGTCATTCCATCCCTTTTCATTCTTGTGCACAATGTTGTGTTTCTTTGTCTATAGCTTGTCTTACCTGGATCTCTCTTTTTGCAAATTAATTCAGCACAACGGTTTTTAGTTCCATGGATGTTGGCAAGTGAAGCAGCATCCATTTTTATCAAATTAATTCAGCATCCAGTTTAAATTTAACCAAGTCATGTGGCAGGCATTATGTTTTGGGGCTAGATTTCTTTACAGGGAATGGCTATTCCTAGATTTCTGATTTGTGGCTGGCTAAACAAGCTTGACCTAAATCTCTTTACATAAGCACCATCCAGATGAGGTGGGTTTTTTTTTTTTGGTCATTTGTGGGACGCTACAAGAAGACCAGGAAAGAGATTTAGATTGGAAATCTCATTTCATTCCTGTCTCTCTCTTGGGAACATTGAATCTTATGTAACAAAGTAAAAAAGACTTCTACCCTTTTATTCAGCGCCTCATGGTTTTGAGGCCATGCTTTTTATAAACTATCATATAGATGTTGTTTTTCTGATAGACATGCATGCTGCCATAAGTAACATTTATGCTTGTACACGTGGAAGTTCCTTGTGCTTAAATATATTTTTCTTGAAGGGGAATTTGATGTTTATTAATTGGATTTTGCTGCATGCTCTAGGATATCAATTATTGTGCTCATTTATAGCACTACAGTGAGTTTTATCTTCTTAGTTCCATCAACTGTCAATTATACGAGTTTTTCTGAATCGCTGTTTCCTTGAATCTACAAACTTCAGTCAATTGCGACAACAGATTGTGGTTGTAATTATTATCTTACGTGGTTGACTTACCAATTTGTACAGAGAGATGATTCAGCACAGGCCCTATACACAAAAGGTGGATGTGTATAGCTTTGGGATTGTCCTTTGGGAGCTCATAACAGGTTTGCTTCCCTTCCAGAACATGACAGCAGTGCAGGCAGCATTTGCTGTTGTGAACAAGGGGGTAAGGCCAGTTATACCAAATGATTGTCTCCCTGTGCTGAGTGACATCATGACGCGCTGCTGGGATACCAGTCCTGAAGTCCGTCCCCCCTTCACCGAGATCGTCAAGATGCTGGAGAATGCTGAGACTGAGATCTTGACCACCGTGCGCAAGGCACGTTTCAGATGTTGCATGAATCAACCCATGACAGTTGACTGATCCAGAACATAAGACCTGATAGCAGATCGTAAAGAGCATACAAATGAAAAAACGAAATATAAACCGAAGCTGTATGGATGAATTTTATGTTTGTGTATGTATCAGTATTTTTTTTTTCTTTTTCCAGATAGGGAAAAGTTGACCATTTAGACCGGATGGTTCCTGGTGTTTGGTGTCAATTGTAATGGAGTAGCGTGGTTGAAGGTCATGGTTTCGAAGCTGTAGTAGTGGGGGAGCATTGGAATATCCTCCCTCTGTAGCTATAAATATATATATGTACCTGCCATTTTCATTGTTGTTTGTTGTTGTTATCTTATATAACAAACGCAGAGGTTCTCTTTGGATTAATAATGCTTCAAGTTCCCCCCCTTTACTCGTTCCCTCCTTTGCTTATCAGTTCCATAACCACTCTGCCCTATTAGCGTGGGAGCTGGAATTGTTCTCAAGTCAGTTGGCATGTGTACACTTTACAGGGATGAACTGTATTGTATTATACTTGTAAATTGGAAGTCTCTAGGACCCGAAATCGTTTTGCTTGTAAATTGAAGCCTGTAGGACAGTCATGTCCAGTTTTTCAGTAACAATGGCTCAATAGTTTCTGGTTTTTCAGGAATACCCTCCCAAACCAGAAAGGGGTTAAAATGCAATTTGCTGCCAGTTAAACATAAACTAAAGACCAGTAACACAGACGCCAGGACAGAAAAGGGGGTTTTGGGGGTGGGTATTGCAATACAAAAGAAAAGGCATGGATGGAACAGGAAATGAACATCAATAACAAGCATCAGAGACCAGTCATACTAAAAGTAGGTGTTTTGGTAGCAATATGATGAATTGGTCACCCGCCGCCCGCCGCAGCTTACCACAGCAGCCGCCGCAGCTTACATAGCACGCTGCCCCTCAGATTGAGAACCGGAGGCCAATCCGTCCTAAACATATAAACACTTGAATTAAAATACAATGCTACAAACACATTGAGTTAATTAAGAACTCACGGAGTTAAGTTTGGTCCGCCTTGCTGGTTGACACTCGGTTATCTTTTCCTCCCAAGCAGGAGACATCGTCTCCAGGTAATCCAGATTAAATCCATAAGCTAGATTAAAGGCACTGAAACAGTAGATGCCAACAACAGTCCCATTCTTGCTAAAGAATGGGTGCCACACACATGCTCGCTGCCATAAATAGCTCCTACCTCCACAAATTGTATCGGAACTCTCGTGTGATAAGCATGCTTAATGCTAGGTGCAACTATTTGTTGCACTTCTTTACTCATGATAAAAGAAGACAAGTTTCTGTTTGGACATGAAACCATTCCTTTGAGATATCGACACACATTATTAAAAAAGACATGAATACACATTATTAAAAAAGACATGAATAAAATGAATCTCACTGCCTTGTACAGCTGCAGAGGTAGCGAGGCGTGCATAGGGAAAGTCCCTCTCTGACTCCAACTTGAGCAATAAAAAAGGATGATCAGCATATTCATGACAGATAGCCGCCTTGAATCCTTCATCATCTTCTTTAAAACAAACATGCATTCCAGTTCTGTTAGTGTCGGTGCCGGTGTTAGTGTTGATAGTAAGGATGTGGCCATAAGGTGAGATCACAACACCAGCAGCAAACAAGGATGGCGTGCCAGATTCAAAAACATTATAGATTTGAGCAACAGGGGGCACCATGGTTCTGAAAAAAATTGGGTATCTCAGAAGCATCCAGGGATGGATGATCGTCTCCTGCATCATAGGATCGAGCATCATCCGGATACATTGTGATTTGGAGGATAGTATTTCAAAGAGGAAAGATCTAGTGGTTGAAGATAAGGGATCTAGGGTTTATTACAACGGCAATCTAGCGATCTAGCTATGGAAGGAGAATGGAGTGGATAGGCATGAATTAGTGACGAGGTCTCCAGGGCCAAAAACCCGCCCCTTTCAGTCGTTCACGTGAATACCGTGCTGGTTGGAACTTCGTTTTGTACAATGCGCTTTTGGTTACGAACAACTGCCTTCCTTTATCTCCTTGTGATTTATTAATTTAGTTTTTATTTAATCCCTATATCCTTTATAAATTAATCATTTTCGTCTATTTCATCTAATTTATTTTGATTTTTTTATTTTAAAAAATAAAAGTAATTTTATATACGATGTTGGAAACTTTAAAGAGGATTACCAAACATGATATTATTATTAAATTAAACATGATCAACACTTACTAAACAACTATATTGTAATTAAATCTAGAAATTGCTGCTAATCTTTGTAATTAAGCTAATCAAGAGTCACTCTTTGATACAAACACGATTCCCTTGAGCTTTTGCTTTGTAAATCTGGATTGGGCCGGGCATGGTCTCTATTTTCTAGTGTCAAATTTATAATAATTAAATTAAAAAGAAAATTAAAGTTAGAAGGGAAATATTTATTGTGCAGCAGAGGATATATTAAACATTATTTCATTACAGTAATATAATGATGAAATTTGAACCATAAAATCTTCTAACCATGTATAGGAGGTTAGGTGATTTTTTTCATTATAATACAATTATCTCTTACAAATTATAAAAGGCTAGACTTGTCATTTTCTTTTTTGTCACAATAAAATTATTAATTTAACCTTAAAATAAAAAAAAGTTTATCATTCAATCAAGGTGTTTTGGTCTTTTTTTTTGTAATTTTTTTAAAATAATAAAATTATTTTACTACTATAAAACCAACTAAACTCTTTCACCAAAGTTTTTTTATTCTTATACCTTGTTATTTTTTAATATCAAAATATTATTAAAAAACCGTTAAAAGAAAACACGTTGATGCACGCGAGATTTGAATACTCCATATGCACGTGATCTCCACACAAGCCACATTCTACCATGATATATTGCCGCAGCTACAATCATTACAGAATTTCTACCCAATAATTAGATTGCTTGCAATTATTATTCTATTTTTTTTTTGTTAAATTTAGTTTTTATTCTTTTTTTGTTTTATCCATTTTTAATTAATTTTTTAAATTTATTCCTAATTATTCTAATTAATTGAAAATTTTATCTTATTAGTTTTTAAAGTTTGTCTTTTATACTATAATTCCGTCTCATTGTATAAGTTCATGTAGAAGTTCGATTGTATATTTGTAAGGGATGGTCAAGAGGATTATGATGATATATAGTAGCTAGTTGCTTCAATCTTACAGTAGTGGCGAGGATGACGATTTTGTCGGCAATGGTTTCTATTAAATGTTTCGTCATTATCAAAATCCTCAAATTGCTATTTACAGTAGTGTAGATCATGTAATTATTGAACTCTAGTTGTGTTCAAGAAAAGAAAGGCATCTTTTTTATTTCTTATTAGATTTTCCCACTTTCCCATCTTTTGCTGTTGTACCATATAGAAACCAAAGATCACAGGTGTAAGATCTGCAGAAAAATGGACGGCTGCTAGGTGATGAACCACCATGCACGCAGAGGATTGAAGTGTTTGCAAGAACAAGAAAGGCTCAATCTGGTATGCACGAGTCAAACTGTTAAATGTGGGCACGAAGATGGGTAGAGGTTGATTCATAATGTCGTGTCTCAGTCATGGCGGCCTCAGATAGGACTGGTCAGGCAAATGAGCTCAAGTGAGCCATAGCCCCGAGCCACTCGAGCACTACATTGGAATGGTCAACATTAAACAGTCTTGTTTTAAATTCACGAATTTGAGGTCAGGAGTCAAGGTGTTATGGAGCTAGTCTTTGCATATTCGAGAGTAAGTCTCTTTTTTTGTTCTTCACAGACAATTTTTCCAGGTTCGAATCCAAAACTAACAAGCAGAGTGGCGAATAAAACTAGTTATGCCCAGTGAGATCAGAACCCTAAACCAAAGAAAAAGAGTGATGATGGTGAAAAGACAAGATGTGAGAAGGCACGTGGAGATGAGGAGGCAGCCAATAATGCAATTAAATTCAGACTTGGCTTGATGATTCCCGTTTTGTCCTATAAATACAACGGAAGGACCAAAACCCCCTTCGCTCATCGTTTTCCTTGCAGCCCCCTCTAGTCATTCTGCTTTCTTCACTTCTTACGTGCAGCAGGGCTAAGTGCCCAATACAAGAAGAAGATGGCCAAATCCTTGAATTTATCACCATCACCTTTAACACCCACCCTTTCTCTCTCTTCTTCTTCTAAATACTCTACCCTCCTCAAAACCCCAACTACCCTTTCCTTCCCTTTATCTCGCCACCACTCCCACTCTCACTCTCTAACCGTAAGATCCTCCTCCTCCTCTGCTACAACCACCGCTACCCCAACTTCCACCACCTCTTCCAACCATTTCCGAGTAGACATACTATCAGAATCCCTACCTTACATCCAGAAATTCAGGGGCAAAACCGTTGTCGTCAAATATGGTGGCGCTGCCATGAAACAACCTGAACTCAAAGCCTGTGTTGTGAGCGACCTTGTCCTCCTCTCCTGTGTTGGTCTCCGCCCTGTTTTAGTCCATGGTGGCGGCCCAGAAATCAACCACTGGCTAAAACTCCTCAACATTGAGCCTCTCTTCCATGAGGGTCTCCGCGTTACTGATGCCAAGACCATGGAGATTGTGTCTATGGTATTGGTTGGAAAGGTCAATAAAGACCTTGTTTCTTTGATCAATAAGGCTGGTGCCACCGCGGTTGGCCTTTCTGGCATGGATGGCCGCCTTCTTATGGCCAAACCAACTCCTAACTCTGCTAAACTGGGGTTTGTTGGAGAGGTTGCACGCGTAGACCCCACTATTTTGCAGCCTCTTGTTAATAACGGGCATATACCAGTGATCGCGTCTGTGGCGGCGGATGAGTTGGGTCATTCTTATAACATCAATGCTGACACTGTGGCAGGGGAGGTGGCTGCGGCATTGGGGGCGGAGAAGCTGATATTGCTGACTGATGTGGCGGGGATACTTGAAAACAAAGATGATCCAGGGAGTTTGGTGAGGGAGATTGATATAAAGGGGGTGAAGAAATTGATTGAAGAGAAGAAAGTGGGAGGTGGGATGATACCAAAAGTGAATTGTTGTGTGGCGTCACTTGGTCAAGGTGTTAGAACTGCTAGTATTATTGATGGAAGAGTACAACATTCTTTGCTTCATGAGATTATGTCTGAAGAAGGCATTGGTACTATGATTACTGGCTAACCCACTGTTCTGTTTTTGGTTGTTTGTCTGTTTGATTGTGGAAGAATAATGACTCAATGCTAAAGCTCTGTACTTATCAAGTGAAGTTTTTCTTTGATGTTTGTTGTTTTTGCTTGATGGGTTTCTATTAAATTTATTTCTTTGCTTGTCAATGGTAATTGATTGATTTGATGACTCAAGCAATTAGTGATCTTGAGTTGTGTTTGATTAACTGGATGACTTGCTGGTGTTCTTGCTCATTTCTGTAAATTCTAACCAATTGCTCCATCGACTTTGAAGGCGTTCAAAAGACACCTGTTTGATGTTGAGCCTGATGCTTAAATGACTGAGTCAGTGCCTCCGAGATCTGATCACCTACATGACCGGATCCGGACATGCCTTAGGTCAACATTGAACCGGAGACCCCGTTCCGGTGCTCTCTACAGTAATTTAGTTAGCGAATTGCGATTATCAACAATTGTTCCAGACAGCCATTACTCCTTATTCTTTGGTTCCAAAAAGGGATAAGAATATGTGAGTTATTGACAACTCTGGGTTCATATCATATGGTATCGTTTTTATGATTTAGAGCATTGGATTCGGAGCGTGTAAAAAGATTGGTTTGAGGTTTAGCAGTGAACTAAAAACTCTGTGGTGCATGTTAAAAGATTTGTTGCTAATGGCAGAATCATTGTGTGTGAATAGACGAGGAGTAACTGCACTGCAGAGTATCAGAAAATAGCCGTCTAGTTCCGGTCATTTTTCATCTCACTTCTGGAATTAGATTCTGTGGTCAAGTGGAATTAAGCTTAAATAGCAGTGATATCTATTCGTCTAACAATTAGTACTGCTTGGTTGCCCCAATATTTTGACCAAATCAACGTAAAAAATCTACTCCTTTCGCCCACAGGATTTTCCTTTAAAGACTGGTTATTTCCTTTGCATACTCCAAAGGTGCATTTCTATTGGCTTGAACCTCTGCTGGTTTTGGCAGCCTCTCGCCGGATCAACTATGGAAATATTTGTAATACCATATGGATCCTGGAGACTTCACTCAGCACAGGGAGACAAGCATTTGGGATCAACTATGCTGCCTGCACTGCTGTCATGTTCTGGAAGGGAAGCAAACCAGTTATGAGCTCCCAACGCTATACACATCCACCTCTTGTGTATAGGGCCCATGCTGAATCATCTCTCTGTACAAATGGGCAAGTCAAACACATAAGAGAATAATTACGAACACAATCTGCTGTAGAAATTGACAGAAGTTAGCAGATTTATGAAAACATCAATTCGAAAAAACTCGTGTACTTGACAGTTGAAAGCGCTTGCAGGTTCCCAAATAATCTTTCTGTTGTTACAAGCAATGACCCATCTACCGGGACTTGCAAGTATAGGATCATGATTCAAGGTTAAACGGTCGCCTCTGTTGTTGAAGGTTTTCAATGTCTAGTTTGGTACCGTTTATGTCTTCGTGTCTCTTTCAGCGTTTTTTGTGACTTTTAGGAATTGATTGTATTGGATTGTTACTTGTATTTCCTTGATTGGTATGTCTAGACGAAGCTAATTTGAGCATTTCACTTTTAAGTCTTGAAGCATACCTACTAAACAAGAAAACTCAACATGATCAAATTTAGCTGCCCATTTTTTATTCAAGTCGAAGCGCACTATTTTCCACCTGCATTAGTGGACTTCTAATTGCAGATGAAAAGAAAACGTTTAATACATGTTCATTGATTTCATCAAACAACTGGAACACAACAGGATCGTAACAGCTGGTTGGTCTCATGCTGCTGGTCGAAACAGTCATGCATCCAGACCAGAATGATGAAGATAGCCTGCAAATGCCTCCCAAACACTGAATCAACTCCTCCATGAATCACAAGCCCTCTCTGTTTATAAAAATGAAAGATGTCACCTCTGAAAATCAATTTTACATATTCCTATCATTCGTAAATTAAAAGGAAGGCATAGCAAGATTGTCAATCAAACAGCCACCCCCTGTAAAAGACCATAGAAATGGTATATAAGTGAGGGGAAAAAAAACATTTGCGAGGGATGGCTTGGAGAGAGCATGTCTCGTCACAGCAAGATTAGATTCATTAATCTCGTTTTTCTATGCCGTTAGAGTTTGAGACCTGGACAAACAAGACGGTAATGGGTTAAAACCTATTAAAAATCGGCTAAATCGACGCCCTTTGTTAATGCAAACTGTAACCACAACAGAAGACAGAAAAAATGGATGAAAAAAGGGCTATGGAGTAGTAATGACAATGCATCCATGCAAATCTCAGTGAGAAGATGCAGAATTTGGGAACACATATAGTTTGCTAGGGATATGGGTTTCTTGTAATGCGTAAGCTGTCATTGTTAAGAGTAACATTTAATCTATTTTGTCAACGTATTAAGAAAATGAATTGAAAACAGAAACAGAGGATGCAACAGAGTGTAAATAAGATGGAACAAAGCAGAACCAAACTAAAAGAGGGGAAAATGATGCTAGTGACGCATGCATCCCAGCAACATGGGAGGATTCGTTGATCAAAGTGAGAGATAACAGATCATCGTTAGCGAGTTTCATCTCTAGGTAAAATGAGGTTGATAGACTGCCTCATTCAATGTAGAGGGAGCTGATTAAATAAAGAAATATTCATGTTATTTAAGAAGCAAATAACCATCATACAATGAACGTTTTGGGGAGTCAATAGAGCTACTGGAAGTTTGATTGAACATCTATACATACATATATGTGTGTGTGTGTGTCTGGAAAAAAAAAAATGGAGGAGTGCTAGCTTGAACACCAAGACTAAAAAAAAGAAGAAAAGAAATTCTTATGATTACATTTATATTTATATATGTTGTTGCAAAAAAGGAAAAAAAAGCTCACTAAAAAAACCCATGAAAATGCTAGATTTTGATAGTTTTTCTCTCTAAAAATCTAATTGAACTGAACCAAAACTAAATGAGTTTGAACTAATTTCTGGTTAGTTTTGATTATTTATGAAAGGTTTCCGTTTAGTTGGATTTTTCTAATAAAAAACCACCTTATGGATGAATCACTGCTACCACCTTAATAAATCATCGCCAGTGCAAAATCAACCCTCTTTCCCGGCAACGTCTTCTTCTCCAATGTGCCCGGCCCTCTGCTCTCTATTTTTCTTTTGTCTGTCTACTATTCCCATCCTTGTTCGGGCTTTTTTTTTTTTTTTGAATAATCCCCACTAGAACCGCCATTTTAATTGCAACTGACATGAGAGTCGCGCCACTTTCCCTCCAACATCTTCTCCTTCAATATATAATGCCCTCTTCTCTCTGTGTGTTTTTTTTTTTTAATTCTTAATTTACCACTGTTTTCTTTGGCCCATCACAAGCCAGATCATGCGAGGGCATCACATGATCATGCATCCAGCTAATACACATATAAAAGGGAAATCTAGGGGATGATAAAACAAATGAAAGAAGAAGAAGAAGAAGAAAACAAGTGCATGCAAGGGCTTAAATTCTCCATCACCAATGGTGGAGTGCTAGCCTGAACACTAAGATGGCAAGGAGAAACTTATTTGTATGGAATGCATGATGAGAAGTGAAGATCCGATGGCAAGCCAAACCGAAACTTGTAAAGCAAAGCCTAATCCAACCCTTTTCATGTCTAATTAGCCTTTAATATACTTCCCACCCAAATAAAATCTCAATGTGTTCATGCATCAAGCACAATACAATAATAATAATAATAATAATAATAATAATAAAAACATGACACAAATGCTCGATGCTTATAAATAAGGTAACAATAATTAAAGTAATAATATTATTATATGTAATCATTTAATAAGCAGTCTAATAGTAAAAATTTGGACTAAGATGTTTATTTTTCTTTTGATTTTAAGTTTGATTCTTATAATTGCTAATATAATAGTTACCGAATATTTACATAGTCATTAACTTTAGAGGTCATGAGATTAGTTAAAGATTAGTTAAGCTTTACACAAACTGACCCGAACAACAATATTAATAAATAATAATAATAATAATATTGTTATATGTTTGTGGTGTCGTGACAAATATCCACCTCGATTGGTATCATCAAAAATGAAATTAGTGTTATTGTTTTGTATTTTGATTACTAAAAACCTTAATTAGTTATATAGTCTAGATAACATGATTGATTATGTAAAAAAAAAAAAACACCTCTTAACTATTATAAAGCCCAAAATATATAAAATAGAAAAAAACTGTTATTTCATTTACTATTTGAAATACATCATACGTATAAATTTAAAATCTCAAATATTAAAAAGAAATAAAATAAAATTTTGGTGTTTTTTTAGATGTAAATCAAATTCTAATAACTTTAATAAATTAGTTATCAAATCCAACACAAGAAAGATTTTTTTATATTATTTTTAAATAATAAAATTACAAAAACTAGTTTATTTATTATTTAAAAATATCTTACATGTAAATTATAATTTTAAATATCAAATATAGAGGGGTAAAAAACAATTGCAAAATTGTCAAATATATATATATATATTTATTTATATATATATATTTATATCTGACAGAATTCTTGAAAGTCAAAGATGACCTGACCTCGAGGCTCTACATGTGCTTAGTTTGCTTAGTTTAGCCACGCGGGCAGGGCTTCTTAACTGAGCCATATACATAAAATTTATGTTCTTAAAGATTTTTAATATATTTTTCCTTAATTATATATAAAATATTTTTACTTTGTCTAAATGTTTTTTTAATAAAAAATTTACCTTTAATGAATTGTTGTTCAGGAAATGTTGCTTGCAGTTTATAAGACTCCGTTTAATCCTCGGCTAAGCAAGGTTTTTTTTTTTTAAATAAAACTTAATTTAAAAAAGCACAAAATTTTTAAGTTTGACCTGATTAATTAATTTTAATAGCAATATATTCCCCAAGACTCATACAGCGCCGGAACTATCCTAGCAAATTATATATATATATATATATATATATATAATAGAGGATCCCCCGCGTCAAGGGAAATACTGAAAAGTAACGATGGAGTCTGCTACCTCTTCTAAGCGGCAACGAGTTGGTAATGGTATTGACTGAAATCTTCCTAATTGCTAGTTATAGATTTAGATTCGGTCGGTAATGGTGTTGAATATAATTTTTATTTTGTTTTTTTAATAAAACAGTACAACGTGCGGCGAGGGATACAGAGGACGAGGAGGAAGAGAAGATGTTTGATGTACGGAGCGTGAACAAAGATGTGGATGTTGATTCAAAAATAGCTGCTCTCAAGGTTTCTCTGTCTGTTGTGTGCCTCTTGTCCCGCACAGGTATCAATGAATGAATGATAATCTAATGAATGCTCTTACAAATATTTAACTACTACAGAGGAGTTGTTTTTGTTTTTGTTTGTGATTGATAACAATAATTAACAAAATTAATTAATTAATTCAGGTGGTAAGAATTTGTGTAGATGCTCGGGGACGGTCGTAGAATGTGAGTGCAAACAAGAGATTGGTGGTGGGGGTGGCGGCGGTGAATTTGTTGCTACCATCCTCACTTCTGCTAACCTTCTCAGATTTCCTGCTTATTCTAGATATACTTTTTTGGCCCCTGACATCACCGTAATTCCTATCTTCACCAGCTAATTTAATTTTTTGTTAATTTGGTATACCGGGGCTGGCCTGGACTATCTTTTTTCAGAAGGCATCAATTCATATAAATTTATTAGTATACAATACATTCAGGTTGAGGTTTATTTATCAAAGGGCAAGCCATTGAAGGGACAAGTTCTTGGGTATGATTTCCACTACAACCTTGCCATCATTCAAATCACAACCGACTATCCTCTTCCTACAGCAATTCTCACAGACATAGATGTTTCGATGCCTCTAACTCCTACACCTCTGCTCACTGATTCAAAACCATTTGGCCTTCGTCCTCATACGGTAGATTCAAGTTTGTTTAAGCTCCGTGGCGGTGACAAGGTAATAGCCTTGGCCCGAACTCATACCTGCCATTGTCTTCTAGTTGAATCTGGCACGTTAAGGTATGCAAAATCAAACTTGGACTTTAGTAGTTTTTTTTGTTGGCACCAATTTTCTGTAATGCGTTTTGTGCGTACCCATAACTTCTAATTACGCTTTCAAAATCATTACCTTTAAATATCTCTAAAATAAAATTTATGGCTTCTACATACGCTTTTACTGACTTTCCTTCCTTTTTTTCCCCTAGTGTGGCAGCACTTGGATATCTAGCAATGAACGAACTTTTTTTTTTCTTTTCTTGTTATTTACACTTAGCTTCTTTCCTTTCCTTGTCTCATCCCAGTATCTATAAGAGCAGCGGGCTTCATTGTCAAGAGCTCCTCTACACTTCTTGCAAGACAACTCATGTAATCCCATCATAATGTCAATCTATTTTTAATGTTAGTTATTCTTGGCACGCCTTGGTTTTTGTTGTGAAATTGCAATACTCATTCTCGCGCATTGCGCTGCGAGGATTTACTGTTGGTAGATTAAACACTTGGCCCAAGTGTTAAATCAGATATGGGTTTGATGCATAATTGAGAGGCATGAATAATTGCACGCAAACACTATTGGAGGAAACGGGTGCAATGAAGTGAGATTTCGAATACAAATTTCCTTTTTTCTCAGGGATTTTTTGTCATTTTGTTAAACTTCTCCTAGTGTTTTGGTTGAAGTAAATGTCAAGGCATAAACACAACCTTCTGACATTTATCACTTTCCCTAAGCATGCCTTCAAAGTGTCAAAACTCACAAATTTATCATTGCGCTGCCCTTTTCTTGAATCAATTCCTCAACTGAAGATCTTGATGCCCCATGCTGCGTGCAATATACAATAAACATGGCTTTTATACTAGTTGTGCTAATCCCACCAAAAAACAAGAAGCTCACACACTTCTACTCGTAAAAATTAATAAAACTTGGCTTTTATACTAGTTGTGATAATCCCACCAGAAAAACAAGAAGCTCACACACTTTATTGGTTCGGTGTGAATTGCCTATTCCAATAAACAAGAGACTCTAAACAAAATCATTGATCTCAACATAAAAGGATTTTCCAAAATCTTCTCTATAAGAAAGAACTTCACTACCATAAAAAAGAAGACAAAAGCTATAATCGGTGGCTTGTTACTTCTTACAAGTAAAAGAAGTGAGGGGTAGAGATTTGAGGGTGAGTGGAAGTATTTTCCGTGCCAGTAGGATAATTATGTTGGATTATGTCTTAAAACCCTCTTTTCTTCTTCTTCTTCTTCTTCTTTTTTGTGTGCGCGTGTGCTGTAAAATTAGTATATTAATTTATTTTGCAAGCTGTATTTGTTATGCAAGAATCCTTGACACTAATGCTGCTTTTATGCTAGGTTTATATTGGCGGGCCTCTTATAAATTGTGATGGAGAGGTCATTGGGATTGTTTTTCATTATGATGGCTATGCTGCTTTTTTGCCCATCAACATAGCTTCTAGATGCATGCAGCTTTTAAAGAGAGACAGGTATGGTTCACATGATTGTTTTGAGTACATGACAGTTTATAGATTGTCCATGATACTCTGACTTGGGTTTGTAAAACATCGAGCTCGTAAAGGTGGTTCAGGTTTCTTTAATTTTAAGTGTTCCTTTATTTTTATTTGCTATTTATTTCGGATGTAGAACAGAAAGGAGAAGGGAAATGGTAATAGAAGAGAGGAGTTATGGGTAGAGATGGAGAAGAAGAAGAGAAAAGGGGGCAAAAATAAATTATACAGATGCACCAAAGAAACCCTAGATTTTAAAAATAAATAAAATTAAATAATAAAACTAGTTATCAATGTCTTTCCTTCATAATAGAAAAGTAATGAAAATCCCTAACATGTCCTCTATCAATTTCATTCTACATGCAATTGGGTCTAAGCATGGTTTTGCAACTATTTAGATTGGCGGGGTGTATCTAATACTTTTCTATTGCTGCACAGGGGAGTCTGTCATCCTTGGTTGGGGATGACCCTGACCAATTCTTACGCTGCCAAGGCATCTGTTTTGGAGGAAATAATCCAAAAGTTCCCTCATATCAGCAATGGAATTATAGTTAAAGACGTATGATCTTGCATCTTTTTTCCCTCTCTTTTTTCTTCCAAATGCTCTCTAGTTGCTTCATTTGTGGTCTGGATGCCATGAAAGATGCTCATGCGTTGCTTAGTCACGTAGGAGGTATGCATTCTTTTGTTCCCCAATGTCCCTTCATTTCTATGATGCTGATGAAGCAAATAATAGCTGTTTTGAGAAATATTTCTGCAACAGCTTCTAAACAATATAATTTGGGGTTCTCATAGGTTGCCAATCTACTGGCTCTAGTTGCGTGGTAACTTGCGCTTGTATTGGTTAGTGTTTCATGGAGAGTTTGGTTTAAAGGACATATTGATATATTTTTTTTTTTTATTTACGTGGGGTGCCCGGGCTAACTTACGCGTACCACGACTAATTTCCACAGCGCACTGAACATCCTGCAAGCCCAGTGAGCAGGTAAGGCACCGCAGGGGTGACAGACATGTATGGTAAGGTTCGAACCCAGGTGCGGAGGAAGGGGACAATCCTCTCCCATCACTAAACCAGAACCTCACTTGCGGACATATTGATATCTTGAGTAGCTTGTTGGTGAGTGTCTTAAGCGCACCTTGTGGATACATAAATATTGATTGTTTGATTTAAAGGATATATTAAAGCCAGTACCTAACTAATTAAATTACATCTCTCAAGATTAATAAAAACACACTAAATCTTAAACTATGTTGTTGGTGAGTATCTTAAGCGCCCCTTGTGGCCTTAGCTCATCATAACTGTATTTAAGTATTATCAATGAGTAACGATTGCAGTTTTAGGTGATGTGTAATACGTGGTAACTGGTTTTGAATGATAGATATATGCTTCAGTTTGTGATTGCTTGTTTTATCAACCTTTTTAATTTTGTTTTTTTTGTTAGGTAATGAAAGGGTCTCCTGCAGCACATGCTGGAATAGTCTCCAAAGACATTATAGTGGAATGTGATGGAGAAGTTGTTAGATGTTCCTTAGAGGTATTTAATCGCATTTATTTATGCTATCTCACGCAGGACTTTATTGTCGTCGCGTAGGTATGCTCGAAACCCACATTTACATGCATGTGGGCTAACAGCCCCATATTTTTATGGACGTGGGCTGTCATGGCAGCTATATTTACACAGCCCATTTTACAGCCTTACAAGGCTGGCCATAACAGCCCCATGTGTTACTTAATTCCCACAACATACTCCTAGAAGTCTAGCCAAATACTCTTTAATTCCTATGTTTGCCAACATTTTAGATCAAACAACACACACACTCTCATTTCCAAACAATTACACTTATTTTATCAAATACTCGGAGAGTATTCTTAAATAATCCTTTTACATGAACTTTGACAATATTCTCACCTCCAGAATATACTTATTCATAACTCAAATCTCATAGAAACTCTTTATATATATATATATATATAGAAAGAATAACAATATAACAATACAAGACACTTCAGTGTGTAATTCTTTGAATATGTTCTTTATTAAAGAGCAAAGTGCCCTTGTCATCTATTGGGATACCTAATAAGTGCAGCCAAACTTTAATCCAAGTGGTTAAAAGGTTTTGGTTTCCTATGGTGCCTTAATACTTAAGTGCCATTAAAAAGTTGGAGAAATCGCACCACATAATAATTTCCACAGCTTCTTAGAGATTGTCAGTAGTTTATCTGTTTCTTTTATAGTTATTATTCTTTACAAGTGATTTTTAGAATTCTGTCTATTGATTTGATCTTTACATCATGATTTCAGTTTTGTAGAATGGTGTGGAATAGGGCTAGCCAATCCGTGGAAGTGGTTGTGATGAGACCAAGTTCCAGCAAGCATGTGAAGCTGACTATGGTTGCTGATGAGTTAAAACCTGCTAGTTATAACTGGCAAGTCCTTTTTCATTTGTTTGTATGTTGGTTTTCGTATAGAAATGCAAGGTGGCACTAAAATAGAGAGTTTATTAATTGGTTTATCTTAGGTGTCATGATGTTTTTGGGTAGGCTTGTCCCTATATATATATATTCCGAAACAATTGATTTTCTACATGTTGATTTTTAAAAATATAATTAGGTAAACATTAACTCACTGGATGATTGCATATTTGTATGAGCTTTCTACAAGTTTCTCTCATATGTTTATTCCTTGCTGTCTTGGGTTTTGTGAGCCTTTTGTATTCCATTTGTGCTTCATTATCATCTAATCCAATTTGGTGCTTTCAGTTGGCCAGTTCCCGCAGATAAAGAGTATGCTGCAGTTATATGGAAGTCAATTGACTTAGCAGCACAAAGAAGTACCACGTGGCTTGATACTTAATGTGTTGGATTGTTTCTCTGCAAGTATCACAGGGCGGGGCGCTGCTCCATCATATGTTTATTACTTTAGAAGGAGAAACTATCTGGTTTACTTGCTAAAATATGTGTTTATTGTTTTTTACACAACTCAAGCAAAAAAAGCAAAGTACATTTTTAATGATTTAAGTGTGGTAATACGAGGTGTTTTGTGATTTTATGTCTAGGACAAGATGAATGTTTTGTTATGTTTTCACTATAAACAACCAGAAAACACCTTAAATTTGGTGATGTTTTGTTATTGTGAAGATTATTGAAGTAGATCACAGATGGTTGCTTCTTAAACTAATTAGAAAACATGATGTAAATATTAAACTTGTTTGCGAGTGCAGGTTGCCTACTTTGTAAATTCACGGCCAGACAGAAACAAGTGAATTCATGATGGCGATGATGGCTAGACTATATTGTCGTAACCGAGAAAGTAGAGGCTTTTCCTAATATTTTTCAGACCAGTATAATTGAAAACTAGCATGTTACTTAATATGTGCAGATAAAATTTGTACAACTTAAACTTCAATTTTGCTTGGCATCACAACTTTAGGATTTTGATCACGATCAAATAACTCATTAAAGAAGACTGCATTGAGAAAATTTCTTTTTTTCTTTAGGGGATGAGAAGCTAACCTATAAGAGCTTACAAGTTTTTTGATTCATAAAATTTCTTTATGTAACAACAACACAGATTGTCCAAAACCAAGTAGAAGAAGACAACATGAAAACCAAGAAAGCATATGGAACAACTGAAACGAAAAGCAAATAAAAAAACATACCACTTAAACAAGAACACCTCCGTTGATGTAGCCAAACTTCTAAATTATGTTTTCAATATATTTGCACTTATTGCATTACAACTAGTCACTTTAACCCCAAACCAAGGAAATATTAGTTACTCTAAAAAAAACTAATATTTTTTTAAAAAAATTTACTACAGGTCTACTAATTCATCAAAAAAGATAACCATTAAAGATATAACTTAACTAGTTAGATTTTGAGTTTACTTCTTAAATATCACCAATTCAAGTGTTATAAACCTAAGGACTAGTAAAAGTTTATATAATCGTTAACTTTAGAGTATTGAGAAATTACTTGAGATGTGTGTAAGCTGACCTGTACACCTATAGTTACCAAAAAAAATAAAAAAACATATAAACATATGACATAAACACCCTCACCTTTTAAATTATATTATAGGAAGTAAGAAAATAATAAACCCATATATGACAATTACCTAGGGATAGATATACCAAGCAAAATATAAATGTGGAAAGTATCACACCATTTGTGGTGTGATACTTTCCCAATCCTTAAAAGCAGTACATATATATATATATATGTTTCATTCCCAGGATGATTTTTTTTTAATGTAAAAAAAATATGGATGTTGTTAATTTTTTTAATTTTTAATTTAATATATTGGTTCAATAAAATTTAAAATTAGATATATTAAAAATTGGTAATAAATGTTATAGCCCAATTCTAGGTTATTTCTCAAAAATTATTTTTTAAAATAAAAATAAAAAATAAATAAAGGATGACAATGTGGAGAAAGCAGATAAAAGAAGGCTACAAAAATAGAAAAAAATCAAGCTGTAATTTTTTTGAGGAAATTCAAGGCCTAATTGTACCCTATTATGCGCAAAAATAGAGAAAAATACAAATTCAAGGTCAAATTGAATGATTATTGAATGAATTTGCATAAAAATTAAGTCCAATAACATAATTAAATTTTTAATAAGCCAAATTGATTTAATCATGGGCCAAATTAAATTTTAATTATGTTTAAGAATTAATTTGGGTCCAATTGAAAGATTTAATTAAGTGCAAGGATTTAATTATACTTTAAATGGGTCAAATTATTTTATTTCGGGCTTAATTGGTGAAAAATTAAGTTTGAGAGCCTAATTGACACGACTAAAAGATTAATGTCTTCTCCCAAGTGCAGAAGAGTCGAAGTAATAAATAACCCGGCAAGATCGGGGTCGAACCACATGGAGGTTAATTGTACAAATTATAAACAACAATTATAAACAACAACGATAGTAACAACAACAACAACTCTAATAATAGTAATAATAATAGTAATAGTAATAGTAATAGTAGTAGTAGTACTAGTAGTAGTAATAATAATAATAATAATAATAATAATAAAGAGGAGGAAGAAGAAGAAGAAGAAGTTAATGGGAATTTTGAGATGAAAGATTAACGTAAGGATTAAACAATGATAACAATAAATATCAAGGTTAGAGGATTCACTAATGGTATGTCAAACAAGTATAGTATAAACTTTTATTATTTATTTGGAAACCACACACAAATGAGGTTTCAATTAGATTATAGATTGTTAACATGATTACATTAGTCATTTTATTCGATTAATGCTAATACTTATAAATCTCATCAAGCATTCATGATTATAATTTATGTTAACAATAAATCAAGTTCCTTTCATAGCTTAAGTGTCGGTTATACCATACAATATGGGCTATGAAAGTATCAAGAATTTGTTGTACCAAGTGTTATATAACATAAATCAAGATTAGTCATTTAACAAGCAAAGTATTAAAGAATGAACAAGATAACAAATATAAAACATGTTAGTATCAAACATTAAAGTTTATATTAAGTTTACATTATACTTATTCTTACACCATTAGTGTAACCTTTTCACCTTGACATAATAAACTTAACTAAATATAATGAAAGAAAGAAAAATAAATAAATAAAATAAGAACATAAATAAGATAAAACTTAATTAAGTAAGTGAAAGGAAATGAAAGGCATAAATTTGATATTAATGAAAGCAAAGCATAAACATTACAAAAAATACAAAGAGAGAAAGCAAGAGCATGATCTTGATGTGAAAACCAAGATGCCTAAATGCATGGCAAATGCCTTCTTTTATATGCCAAAATTGAAAACTATTGATTTGATGACTAATTGATGAGTGGGTGGCCAACTCCTGACTTGGTGACCATCCTTAACTTCTCTTGTCTACCCAAAACGTCATTGATAATGTCAAAATTAGAACCACTACATGAAAGTTGTAGGAAATTATCTCAGCTTTCTTGTGTAAAAAATTGAGGTAATTTGAACTTCTAGAATTCCAGATATGGGTCAAATACTTAACAGTGCTCGGGCTGGAGGATAGATTTGGACTTCTTTGTTGTTGCTACAATTTGGACTTGAAAAATGACCTTTTTAAATCTTAGGCTCCATATGAAAGTTATAAGCCTATGTCTTACCTTTCCATATATATAAAGTAGACCTAAATATGAGATCTACAATTCCAGATATGACCCAATTACCAAACAGTATTCCGGTTTGGACTACACCGACATTTCTTTTCTAAGTTTGGCCATCTCTTTGTCCTCTCAATTTCAGTTTTTAAATTCATCAATCAATTCTTTCATTTATATGATAGGCCTGCATTTAAAATGAATATTTATCACAAATTAAATATATCTTATATTATTAGATATATTGTTATAAAACATGCTTTAGTTAATGAGTTATTGATACTTCAAGTGCAAAAATGATGACATAAAACCTTGATAAAAATGCACTTTTAAGTATTAATCACTAATTTTGGCTTAATTGAGAAGATTAAAATTTTAAGAGATCAAATTTAATTTTTACCAAGTTAATTGATTGAAATTAGGGGTTTAATTGCATTAAATATAAAAAAATTTAAGGTTAATTAGTATTCAATTGAAAGCAATTAAAAGTGGGAGGATCGAAATGAACTTTGGCAAAAAAGGAATCAACATTGTTCATTATCTTTATTTTTTTCCTTTGCAAAAGCTGATTCAGCTGCCTACTTTGTAGCAGCATTTAATGTACCTAATATCCATCAAATTTGACAAATCTTATACGAAAATTATCCTTTGCACTTTATCTACAACTCTGTGTGATCAGTTTAGGCTAAATGATAACATATCATCTCTAGTGATAGCCTAAAGAAGCCAACTCAATCAACTTTTGTCTACAGATTTTACAACTCATGATACCTACTTTGAGTCAATGGTTGGGATCTTTCCAAACTGAATCAAGGGCAGAAGTTTTTTTCCAATATAGACAAGATTGCCCTCTTCTACTGCCTATAAATAGAGGTGGATTTCATGGCCTGAGGGAGGAGAAAATCAGGTCCACAGTCAGCCACTAAACCAGTTTTTCTGCCGGTTTATGCAAATTTTCTTCTTTTTCTCTCTCCACTGTGGCCTCCAGCCACCACCATTGCCACTGCCGGCTTGACAACCATCCTCTCCACCACACTTCTCTCCCTTCATTGTGGCCTTCAGCCACCACCACTGCCACTGCCGGCTTGACAACCATCCTCTCCACCACACTTATCCCTCTCTTCTTATTTCTTCTCCCCTTTCCTTCACAGCGACATCAACACATCAGCACCACCATTTTCATTTTCTTTCTTCTCTAGCACCGGCAGTATCAACATCAACACTGTCCTCCACCTCCACAACCAGCTTTAACACCATCATTTCCATCAATCTAGCCCTCATAGACGACTGATTAGTACTTAAAAGTGCATTTTTATTATGGTTTTATATCATTATTTTGCACTTGAAGTATCAATAACTCAACTAAAGCATGTTTTATAATAATATATCTAATAATATAAGATACCTTTAATTTGTGGTAAATATTTATTTTAAATGCAGGCCTATCACATAAATAAAAGGATTGATTGATGAATTTAAGAACTGAAATTGCAAGTGCAAAAAGATGACCAAAATTAGAAAAGAGATGTCAGTGCAATCCAAACTGGAACACTGTTCGATAATTAGGTCATATCT